AAGTTGTTAACTGGATATTACTTAGCAACTGAAGATCAGCCCCTAATAGTAACTGGTAAAATATGTGAAAATTTCGCTCGCCGATTATAGTGTCTGTTATGCGGGTCTGTGGGCAGAAAAAATGTAATGAATAATAATTCTCAAAGCGAACTGATTAAATTTAAAGCAAACCTTTTCCAACATATCTTAAGGGTAAGCACGAATTGAATAAAATACATTATCACAGGTATTTATTTTATTTGCAATAGGTTTTACTTACAGTGTGTTATGTGCACTCCCATTGGATCGCCCTTGAAGTCAATTTCGATATCGAATAATTTTCCCTGAAAAACCAAAAGGGAAATAAACAAATGTAATCAAATAACAAACCAGGTTTTCTTATCATATGTTATGATTGGTATTTATGTTTGGTAACCCATTTAAGTTTGTATTACACTCACATATCGGCTGGAGTTGTTATTCTTCAACGTGCAGGCGTTTCCCATAGCCTCCAGGAACACATCCGCACAGGTGACACATTCGCGCATCCTTTGCGTTGGCGACTTGTGGCGCCTGTGCAGCGACGAGCTGGCCGAGGGCGTGGGTGAAACGGAACTGGGCGGCGGGGGCGGCAAATCACCCAGAACCTTGCTTAGCTTGTGTGCATCGTACAGCGATATACGTTGCGTGGACCCCATGAGGGAGCTTCGATCCCGTTCCCGCTCGGGCTGGCTCTCGGTTGAGTGCTGGCGCATCAAGTTTGAACAGCTGCCGCGATGTGGATGCGCCGGATGGGCGGTGGTGGTGGCTATTGTAGACAAGCGACAGGTGCTACCTCGCAACTCATCTCGCTCCTCCTTTTCCAGGCTTTGGGCACGAACGCACTTGCTGTGGCCACATTGGCGACAGCCGCCGTAAACGGAGGGCACAGCATACTTCGGCGAACCCTTGGCGGCCGGGGGCATGGCAGTGCAGGCGCTGACTTGGGTCTGCTGGTGCTTGAAGCACGACTTGGTCGGATGCAAGTGGTGGGCATGCGATTCGAGCAGGCTGCTGATGTTCTCGTTGCTCTTGTGGTGTGAGAAGTCAAAGTCGACGATCTTTTCGCGCATGTGGCGCCTGCTCTGGCGTTCAATGCTCTCAGCGCGAGTCCGCGAACGCTGAGACGGTCCTGGCGAAGGACTCTGTCTCCGCGAAATAGTGGCCGGCGGATTTTCCGCCCGGTTCTTGCATATAATAAAGTTGGCAGTTCCTGAGCAGCTGCTGGAGGCGCGCCTGTGGGCGTGAGTCACCAGCCCGCTGGCCGAGCTGGTGGAGGATTGCTTGCGCAGGACATTTGGCGTGGTGGGGCAGTGCGAGCGATCCTGTATGTGGGTCAGAAAGTTCACAATCATTTTGAAGGTCTCCGTCTTGCCTGACCCGCTCTCGCCGGTGAGGAGCACGCACTGGTCCTCGCTCTGGTCCTTGAGTGACTGGTAGGCCAGATTGGTGAGACCATAGCTAGCGTTAAAAATAAACATATTTAAATTTTGAAATTAAGCAATCTGGTTAAGGAGAACTTACATGTGGGGCGGCAGCTGGAAGATGCCCTTGTCGCCATAGTTGCGGACATTGTCCAGCGAGTGCTCGGATATGTGATGATATGGATTCAGAGCCACAACAGAAGTTCCAATGTAGGTCTGCCAAGGGAATGTATAGGAATGTGGGTAGACTAAAGGTATTATGGCACTTACATATATGTGATCGCGCTTGTAGCGTTGGTGGATGTTGTTTATGAAGCTATCCTCGGACAGGTTCTCCAGCAGCACCGAGTCCCATGTGCCGATTTCCTGCTCCATCGCGATTTCCTGCTCCAATTACAACAACATGTACGGCGGTAGTGACAACAACGGCAGCAGCCAAAATCGAGCTCAACATTTGAATTTGAATCCATTAACTGCAAACGGGGCCAAAACGAGAACGATGGGAAGGGTGATGGGGGTTTTTAATGACTCCAAGAATTGCATAATTTATTGCGGGCCTGCATGCATCTGGGCGAATCCGTGTTTTGATTTTGTGATTCAATTATTGATTTTCATGTGCTGGCGAGCAACAGCCTCGAACTCGTGCTCACGCAAATATATACCGCGGTTGCAGTCCGGCTTTTTATATCCTTGATTGCACGTCTCTTAACTGTCTTCCTGGGCTTCCGTTTATGCGAATTATTGTCTTTACTCGCCACGATTTGCACATTTTGTTTACCTTTTCAGAAAATACATTCTGCATCCAATGAATACTAGTGGTGGCCTAGCCATCGATTGCAAAATCGATGTGGTTCCTTGGGAAGTAATCGATTCGTATACTCTATTGGAGATATTTATATTTTTAATATCAGTTCTGAAAAGTTTTGAATAAATTGGTTCAAATTTTGCACATAAGTATGTACTAATAGTTGAACTCCCTTTAAAAATATGATTAAATATGTTAAATGTGTGTTTCCATTCTACATTAAAATTCATTCTGCGTTAAAATTTAATGAATTTTAGATATCCGTAAATTCGTGTTATTTCTGTATTCAAAATAAAATAACATTTTTTAAACTTTTCCGTAATTGTGGCTGTCCGTATTCACTAACAAACTAAGGGTATTAACAGTTTCGGTATTGGCAATAAGCGACTGTTTGGTGCCATCGACGGGGCTTCCATCGCTATTATATACCACAGACCAGACCATGAACACTGACGAACGAAACTTTCGATTCAGCTACTATGAAAAGTGCCTGATCAACAGCGTGGAGGAGAAGAAGTCGCTAAACAAACTTCTCCAGGATGACATCCGCAACCTGAGCAAGCTAAAGCAATTCTGTATGAACTACACGGTGCCCAACATCCACAGAAGCTATCTGTGGGCTCTGGTCATGGGAATTCTGCCGCTCCACAAGGCGTCGACGGCGTACATACGGGACCAAAGACGCGAGATGTACGAGGATCTGCTGCGAGCCGTGACTGTGCTCCGGTGTGCCGAGCATAAGGAGAAGGAGCAGGTCATGCACACCATGTGGTTGCTGGAGTCTAATCGACTGTGGCACGGCAATGCTGGTCCCAGTCTCCATGCTGACGATACACACTTCATCGAAATCATGCGCACCCTACTCCAGATATTCAACGATGATGTGGAAACGTATTGGATAGCCAAGGGATTCTATAAGTACACCCGCGAGCTGAAGAAGGAGTGCGCCAAGCTGAAGGAACAGACGCATATTATGCTCAAGCGCGAGGACCAGTCCTTGTTCAAGTGTGTGTTCCAATTGGTTAATCTTATACCCCAAGTTAATGATTTTTTCTTTCTTATAGCCACCTGGAGGAGCTCGGCCTGTTTGATAGCAACTCAACGCTACTGGACAACTGGTACATTACCTGCTTTGCTGGCGTCATCTGCGAGACTGTTTTGGTCAAGATCTGGGACAAAGTCTGTGGTGGCTCCCGCAAGATTGTGGTTTTCCTATTTGTAGAACTAGCCAAGGACATCAAGTCCCTCATACTTAAGCAAAAATCCCTGGCAGACGTCAAAAGACTGATAGAAACGGTAGGTGAATTCTTAATCCACGTAACTACTCTTGGGTTAACAGAACTCATCCTCAGGTGAAGGATGTCGACGGCGTCATCGTAAACAAGGCCATCAAATCTCTGCAAAACAACAGCAGCGAAGTCGAGTACACTCACTAAGTAATTCTATAACATTTTTATATCGGACATATAAAGAGCGAAAGCAACTAAATGTATTTGAAGACCACGTCCTTCTTGTCACCCACCGTCTGCAGTTCCAGCGTCACTGGGCATTGCATCCAGTAGGATAGCAGCTCCTCCGTATATCCGATAAGGAAGTACATTTTGCGCGGGGTGATCGCCTGTCTTATAAGGGCCGCAATCCTAATGGTATTGTGCTGCCGCTTGATGATGATCTCGGAGCAGACGAGGGCGTGCCATGTGCCAGTGACGAACTTGCGGATGAACACATCCTCAATGGCGGTCTGGGACGGTCGGAGGGCATCCTTCAGCGTGGCTAAAAAGAAGGGCGTTATAAATATGAATCATCAATAAAAAGTTCCTCCAACTCACATGTGTTCCACGAGTTCCAGGACTTGCGGTGGCCAATAAAATGCGGCGGATTGGCCATCTCATAGGTGAGCGCCCTGTTTCGCTTTGTGGTTATGCGGTATCGCCCGGACTGCACGCGACAACACACAACGCTGGTGTGGATGCTTGACCGGCTGAGCTGCTGCACCTCGGCAGCCGCCTGGGGCACCAACTGCAGCAGGAAGGGGTATTTAAAATTAAGAATTCAAGTTTTTTATTAAATAACTCACCTTTTTTAAGAAGTTCATTATTTTCCGGCACGAAACAAACTTGCGTCCAGCAACAGCTGTTTAACGTGACGTAACGGTTTCCTAGAGATGGAAAAATATTGAAGTGTACGCTCGATGTTAATTTGTGTTAACAAATCCATTTAAAATTATTTAAAAAAGCTTTTAGAGGTACATTTTTTAAAATTTTAACACGCAAATTACATGACAAAAATTAAATAAAAATATGTATAGTTAAATAAAGAACATGTAGTTCTCTCTGCTGAATTAAGAAACCTAGACGCAATTGAACTGCCTTCTATTTTAATGTTGATTCTTATATAAATTTTGAATAATAATATTTATACATATCCGTTCTTTGTTATTTTTATTAAACAAATATAATACGTATTTAAATCTCCGCGTCTATCGACTGTTTGGATCTCTATATAATCGAGTAAATATCGATTTTTCAGCTCTGCGGCGATGCTATGTTCCCAAATCCTATTTTTGAAATATAGCTCAATCTATGTTAACATTATCATGTCGGATTTATACAAATATATATTACATTTTATTATATATCTACATATTTTGGTCACGATAAATAACATTTTGAGTTTTGTTCGATATTATTCGCAGTGTTGACTTAATGAAGTTTACTTGTGTAATTACATCCAAGTTTTACTTTTGCACTTAACCACGATAGCCAAAATTTAAAGCACTTGCAATTTTTCGGCTGACAAAACACCATCTAAAAATTGCTACAAATGGCTACAAAATTGCTACATTGGCATTACTAGAGCGCTGGGCCTGCGCGCTTGGAAAATGGCTTAAACGCAGGCCATCTCAAACAAAGATCGAGGATCTCAGATCAACAGGAACTACCTGTTGGAGTCACACTGAAAAAGGACCCTTTCCAGAGCGGTACTGAAACAGGAATCTTTTTGGAACTCCTTCTACCTGAATGCACTAAATGCTGAGGAAGCAAAACCAGAGCGAATACATTTGAAGCCATGACGCTTAACGAAAGCGACGCCACCCGCTTAGAGCTGACGCGCAACTTCCTGGAGCTGTCCCGGAATCCTGAAACATGTACCGCCCTGCGCAGCTCGGACTGCATCCAACTACTTGTGCAGATATTGCATGCCAACGACGAAGGACTTTCCACGGCGAGGAAGTACGCCAGCCAAGCGCTGCACAACATCGTCCACAGCCACCCGGAGGAGAAGGAGCGCCAGCGGGAGGTGAAGATGCTGCGACTGCTGGACCAGATCCTCGACTACTGCAACTTCCTGCGCACCCAGCTGCAGAGCGGGGGCGAGGCCATCGCGGATGATGAGGATCGGCATCCACTGGCGGCCATGAAGCTCCTAATGAAAGCCAGCTTCGACGAAGATCACCGCCAAACCATGTGCGAACTGGGGGCCCTTAAGGCGATTCCCAACCTGGTTCATCTCGATCATGCAGTCCATGGACCTGCGGCTGTGGGCAGGGAACAGTGCAACGCTTTAAGGAGCTACGGCCTCATGGCCCTCACGAATCTCACCTTCGGAGATGAGAATGTACACAACAAGTCATACCTGTGCGGCCAGCGCCAGTTCATGGAGGTGGTCATCGCCCAGCTAAATACAGCTCCGGATGAACTGCTACAGGTGTGTTTAGTCTAGGTCATAATTCAGAATACACAATTTATCCATCATCTATTATTGATTTATGAATACTAACGTGTAATTTAATTTTTATGAAAATTTATGTTCTTGATTGATTACTCTTGCCTTTTATAGGTTCTTGCTGGCGTGCTTCGCAATCTGTCTTGGCGGGCAGACAAACATATGAAGACTATTTTCAACGAGCTGGGAACAGTGACATCCTTAGCTCGAGCAGCAATGCAAAACAAGAGCGAGAATACCTTGAAAGCCATACTCTCTGCCCTCTGGAATCTCTCAGCGCATTGCAGCACGAACAAGGCGGAGTTTTGTGCTGTGGACGGAGCACTGGCATTTCTGGTGGGAATGCTTAGCTACGAGGGTCCAAGTAAAACCCTCAAGATCATTGAAAATGCGGGTGGTATTCTTCGGAATGTTTCTAGCCACATTGCTGTGTGTGAACCCTACCGCCAGATACTGCGGCGGCACAATTGCCTGGCCATTCTGTTGCAGCAATTGAAGTCGGAGAGCTTAACAGTGGTCAGCAACTCCTGCGGTACTTTATGGAACCTCTCGGCGCGCTGTCCCGAGGATCAGCAGTACCTTATCGACCACAATGCTATTCCTCTACTGCGCGTCTTGATCAGCTCCAAAAACTCCATGATTGCCGAAGGCAGTGCTTCGGCTTTAAAGAATCTAGTTAACTTTAGGGCTACCCTGGAGCTGATGCCCAATGGAGATGGTGGCTCCCTGCCGCTGGACAAGGAGTCTGGCCATGGTGGCACCCTACCGCGGAGGTTCAGCTCTCTGCGTCTAAGCTCCAATCCCACTGGATCGTTAAAAAAGGTACGCCCATCCACGGTGAGCACAACTGGCTTCCTCAACAGAAAGTGTGAGAGTCGGGAATCCATTTACTCGGGCAAATCTGACTCTACTAAATACTCAACCAAGTCGGAGGGAGCCAAGAACCCTTTTGAGATTGTCACACCCACTGAGGAACAACCCATTGACTACTCCATGAAGTATATGGAGCACAAACCCAGTAGCAGTAAGACCTTTGAGATTGACTTGGACCAGCCCACAGATTTTAGTGCTAGATATAAGGAACGACGATCCGCTCAGTCGGCACAGCCAGAGCTGAAGTCGGAGACCAGTGAGATTACGACCAATGAGTTGCAACTGGCGAAGTCCTCCTCGGCCACGGAGCTGCGAAATGGTCCAGGAATGGTAACAATTTCGGCAGCCAAGCAGAAACTCGCTACCGAAGTAGAAACGGAATCAGCAGAGCGACCGATCAACTATTGTGAAGAGGGAACTCCCGGCAGCTTCAGTCGGTTTGATTCCCTTAACAGCCTGACCGAAAAGCCGGAAAAATGTATGGCACTGAAGACTCCAACAAAGCCTATAGTTCAATCAGGACAACTCGACCGAAACATTCCCCAAAATATCGATTCAGCGCTGGAAACTCCACTAATGTTCTCTCGACGCAGCTCGATGGACTCACTGGTGGGTGACGACGAGACCATTGCCTGCGACGATAATGGCTCCGTGATAAGCGAGTACAGCCGGATGCAGAGTGGTGTCATCTCCCCTTCAGAGCTGCCCGATTCGCCCACCCAGAGTATGCCGCAGTCGCCAAGAAGGGATCGCAAGATGCCCATTGAAAATGACGCTGAGACTCCTGACCGAAAGCCTGGCAATGTGTTCGAGGACAAGCTGAATAGATTTCACGTAGAGCACACGCCTGCCGCCTTTTCCTGTGCCACCAGCCTAAGTAATCTTAGCATGTTGGATGACTCCAATGCAAACGCTACTCGAGGACAGCGTACAAATGACATCAACGGCAATGGGGATGCTCCCCGTAGTTATTGTACAGAGGACACTCCGGCTCTGCTTTCTAAGGCGCCAAGCAATAGCGATTTGTCCATCCTGTCCATACCGAACGATTTGAATGCCAACGAAGAGCAGCCAGTGCCAGCGCCACGAGCGGATGTCCCTGGCCTAGACACTCGGATTCCGGCTGAAGATGCCATCTCCAAAATGCGCTGCGGCGGCGGCGCATTACCCAGTTATCTGCCAGTGTCGGATGAAATGAGCAAGTACTATGTGGAGGATAGTCCATGCACCTTTTCGGTGATTTCTGGACTCTCTCACCTCACAGTGGGCTCGACTAAAGCAGGACCGGTTTCGAAACTTCCCATAAGGACTTTGGAGTCACAGGCAGAGGCACCAAAGTTGCCTCCCAGACGGAGTGCAGTTCAGGGAGAAGGCGCAGAACCCTGCCTACCGCCGAAAAGAAGCGACTCGCTGAGCTCACTATCCATGGACTCGGATGATGACTGCAATCTTCTCAGTCAGGTAAGGAAATTAAGCAACTTGATTAGGGGATATATCGCTTAAATGAACTGTTCTCGTATGACAACCCAAATAAGAACAAGGGAATGTAAAGGGATCGTAGTATTATCTAACTCAAATTAGTTTATAACTAACGAAAACGGCATCTAACTTTGTCAACCGAAAATTGATGACAGAGTGCAATGCGCTTATATTATAAAAATTATGAAAAAGCGACCCAAAATTACAAATCAAACTGAGTATACAGTTTTTTAGAGAATTTAAACCACAATCATTATGAAGTATGCCACTTTGAAATCGGATGTCGGTAACAAAAGTTATGGGGTTAGAAGTACGATTTTTTGACACATTTCTGCATTGCCATTTTTGTTACGAAAAATCGACCCAAAAAATACAAACCAAGATAGATTTTTTAAAAAAATTAAATCACAATCCTACTTAATGATTGTGATTTAATTTTTTCTGTTCTGTTACTTTGAAATAGGATGTCTGTACGAAAAGTGTTTTTTCCGATTGTTCCTTTGGGATCCGACTTATATACCACCTTCATCTGAAAAAAAACTTTTTAGAAAGATTCATCTGAATAGCTTTAAAACTTAGGGAATAGTTTGCTCAGAATAAGACAGAGTACGAATATATCTTATGGAGTCGGAAATATGGCCTTCACTGCGATGCAAAATTATTGACTGGATTTAAAACGAGATGTAGTCAAAGCTTTAGAATTTAATCCCACTACCCCCGAATTATAAAATGTTCTATTTTTAGGCTATCGCGGCGGGAAGCTGTCGACCTCAACCAAGTGGTGCTAGCACTAGTTCCAGCCTGGCCAACGCCAGCACCAGTACTCTAACCAGGACAAATGGGCAAAAGAAGGAACCTGAGGATTCCGATAAACCAAACTACAGCTCGGATGACTCGCTGGAAGACGAAGACGACGATGCACGATCCAAGACGCTTTTTGAGCAGTGCATCCTCAGCGGCATGCATAAGTCCAATGACGCCCTGGAATTGGAGGGAGAACCCCCGGGGCAGCGGCAGGAAACGAGTGCACGGGATCGGTTTGTCAGCAATCAGGTGCGCCAAATAGAGTCCATGCTAGCCGGGCGCCAGCACTAGCAGCGGATATGTGGTTAAGTGAAAAGACCATGCGTTTGTTTGGTGGCTTTTAGTCTTGTCTATGCAATAATATTTTCACGGTCTCAATTTTCCTATAGTTCAGATTAAAAATTTGCACTTAAATTTAACTCTTTAACCCGTGTAATATTATGTCTACCCTCTCAAGAAAAACTGCACACGTAAACATTAAGGAAACTAAAAGGATCATAAGGAATGGGGTACAGTCGTTGTATAAATAAAAGTTGGGATAAACTGAGGTCCGGGATACTCCTAACATGATGCTTTGACGAACTAGCACCAGACGCTAGAGCGCTCAGTAGAAACGTTTTCGAGAATTGCGATCCTTGAAATAGGAGATAGCAAAGATGGCCACTGCTGCCGCCACGACTACCACGAACAGGAGGATGAAGAAGATTTTGGCGTTAGACATGCCCGGCTTGGGATCCTCCTTGTGCTCACGAGGTGGCTCGAAAGTCTTGGCATTCGGTATGATATTGGTGCGTCGGATAATCTCATCGTGCTGCGAATGAAAGAAAATTGTGGTTTAATAAACAAGTGAAGTAAAGCTGGTTTCGAGTAATATGATATTCATATAATAACACTCATCTTTATCAGGCCTGCTTGACAAACATTTTTTAGCTTTTAAAAGATTAATTCGATTTGAATTTTAATTTGAAATCGTACAATGTGTTTGACGCCTCCTGCTAAATTATAGCAAGTTGGTGCAATTAAAAACGAGTTCATTCTTTTTTTAGAATCTTGTTCCTACCTATAGATATAATGACTTAACCCGGCTTTCGGGTTCCTTGCACTCTTTAGCCGATAACCAGACAGCTGAGTATAGCGTATTCGCCTGCTGGGGTTAACTTACATTTGGGTTGGAGTCCAGGTCGTAGAACTTGAAGCTGTGGATGTCGTGATTGTCGGACAGATCACCCGTCGTAGCCGACATGCCAAAGTGGTAGCCCGTGGGCAGCTCCACGTTAGCGACGACAAAGCAGCTCTTCCATTCGTTGCGGTTCTCCAGATCTGTAGACACCGACAGAATGTCGTTCTCGTATCGAATGCTAACTAACGTCTCATAGTCCACATTACGGAAGCGAACTTCGCAGCCGGCTAACTGAGTGTGAGTTCCGTCGCGGTCGTGGTCGTAGCTCCAGCTGCCATTGTTAACCATGGCACTGAGATATGGATGTTGGTGCTGCAAATGAAAGATTAATAAAGGCTCTCCTATAGCTAAGGCTTTCCTACATTGTGTGGGCCATTGTGGTTGCTGTAGGTGTCTAAGATGATGGCCAGCCCGGAGAAGTGATCTTTGCTGCCAAAGACCGGGCCTGTCTTCATCCGCTCCTTGGTGTACCAAATGGCAAAGCCGTCGCCGAAGAGTTCAGTACCCTTGCCGTGCACCTTGAAACCAACATGCAACTCCCAATTGCGCGTCATCACGGGCTTCGCATGAAATAGTGTTAAGATTACTCATAAGGTCAGCTAGAGATCAACCCTCCTGCTTACCGAGTAGTTCCAAAGGGCGCCGCTCTTGGACTGCAAGTCGGGCGTCAGTCTTATATAGTTGCTGGTCACCATCGTGTTGCCCAGAAAGTCCCAGTGGGGCAGTATCACGCCAACGCCTGGAAGGTCAAGCCACGTTAGAGGTACACGTACTCCATCTTATCAGAGCCCGGAAACCCACCTTGGAATGGACGCACTAGACTGTGCTCCCGTTTCATGTAGTCCGGCTCCCTGGGATTATCCTCTTGGGCAAGAACTGCAAAAGGGGCGACAAGCAGCGCCAGTAGCGCCAGGGAACAAGGTGCGCGCGACGGCTTGGTCATGGCTGCATTCGGTGTCCCCGTTGGATGAAGCTACACGGAAAATAATATTTGCAGACAATTTTTTTCGCCGGCCTATTAGTGGTGAGCAACTGTGATTCATTAACGGTGGTTGGCAACTATCGGAAACTTATCGATAGCTGGTCCCACGACATTGTTGTGTTGTTATCGAAACCTGTCTATCAACCATTGGCACAAATATTTATCAAATTTAAATAGTCGAAAATGCTTGGTAAAGTATGTTAATAAGTTATAAACTATGTTAATACTTTAAATAATTTTGAGATCAAAGTGCCTTTTTTACACTTATACTAATATTTTCAAAGAAATAAATTTAGGTAATTATTAACTAAATGGAAACTGGATTTCTACCAAAGCTTTTTTATTTATTATATTAACCTATTTCAGTTCAAAGTCGCTTTCAGCTAGACTTAAATTTTACTTTCAAGCCATTTTTGATATAATAAATTTTAGCTTATAACTATTAAAAGTGTTTCAGAAGGTTACAAAAATGTCCAAGCTATTGTAACTATTTTGCGAAGAGAACTACCAAAATAATTACATAATATTAATAAGAAAAACGTTGTAAAGCACTATCCACGATTCTTGGGAAGTCTTCGTGATTAAGCGGTAGTTTTTGTAGTTTATTTTTACAATTTTTACTAACAAATGTGGGACAATTTACAGACAGTAAATATGTTACGGAAGTACAGCTCAGACCACTCAACTGATGAATGCAAATTATGGCTTTGGACAGCTTCCCCTCTTTTGGCGCTTAATTCACGCGTCCAACCAGTTTGCATTTTAATCTGTTTGACTCGGATTACAACGCCAACAACGCACAGCCCGTTTGTCATGGTGCGAGTCATTTTTATGGCTTATTGCACACGCACATTGGCGCCTTCACGCCTCGGGTCTTGCGGCACATGGATCTGGTGGTGATCTGGTGGAAATCGGGCGGGAAAACCTGTTAGTCAAGAGTTTTCCTCCTCGGCGTGCGTTAGCCGTCGACTTTGGGGGTCACTGTCAAGGTCGGAGTCGTGAGAACAAGCGACATATAATGCAAATGCGGCAGGAACCTCAGAATGCAGCAATAATTCCGATACAAATGCACATTTGCTGATTCTGATTTGGGCACAATTAGCAGTGCGGCTAACGGTGCAAGATGTGTCACCTGTGAAAGGCGGCTTGCTGCTTCCTCAAAACGCCGCTAATTGGCATATAACGTGCCTAATTATATCAGTCATTTATGAAATCATTTCACTTTTCACCTCCCCAAAACAACTACAGGTGCATTATCTGAGCCAGCTTCCGCTGAGCTGCGATGTATTTTCGCGTCATTTGTTCTTGTCGCCCCGCGATTTGATTTTGACTCACCTGTGCGACTTCGACTCCGACTTCGACTTCCTCATGGGTTCGAGTGAGATATGGCGGTTATTTCGGGCCCGGCATTCTCGATTTCGGGGAGTGGCGGCCCGAAAGCTCCCTAATGAAAGTTAGGGTATGATTAATGGCCCGTGGGGGCACAGAGTTTCCCACCCGATCAGCAGCAGGATGTGGCAATTAGCATGGCTGGACCATCGCGTCAGCGGCTATTTATAGTCATAGTCCGATAGAATCTGGTAATTAGTAGCACGCTTAAAAGCTCATTTATAAACTACAGCTATCGGCTGTCATGTGCGGACAAGTTCAGGCCCAAACAAGCAGCACTTTTCAATTCCTCAAAGTGGCAATAACCTGGGGCCAGGCCAAGACAGGCCAAATCTGAGGCCGCTCAGCATTTCATTGGCCCGGCCAGCCAATGAATGATTGATAACCCGCTGCCGAATCAAGCAAAGAAAGCCAGAGTACGCGCAAGGCAATTGGCTAATTGATTCAGCATAAATCAATGGCAATCAACAATTAGCCGCATTAATTGCCTGGCTTACAGCAATTGAAACTGAACTTGACCCTCTCGCCGTCGACTGAAGACAATGCAAAAACCGAAGAGAACAGAACGGAAGGCCAGTTAGACAATACCCTGGCAAAAAGTTCGATCATAGATCTGACTGCAGGGGATTACCCTAAATAGTGTTATGAAATAGATCCCAGCTACTCACATTAGCTTAAAGAAATAATAAATTACTAAAAGCATGTCAAACATTTTATGAAAATGGTTAATATTCTGCGTCACTAATAAAAAAAACAAGGAAAAAGGGCAACAATTTTAAATTTATGGGTCCATTTAAATCAAGCTATTGTCAATATGTATACAAAAATGTTTAGCAACTTCTTTTTAATTTCGTATGTATACTTATTGGTAACATAATATGTATATATTATATTTCAGCGTTATGAAGAAATATTTATCGCTTAATTTTTGAAATAAACGCGGACTTTAAAATGGCTTATAACAATAATAACAATAGCATTTTCCTCTTAGATTTCATGACCCACATGTTCATAACACTCTTAATCTGAAAAAGAAAGATCTTTAGCTGATATAACTCCTCGAGAAGAGTATCAATTATTAGCCAATCGTTTTGACTTTGGCGGTTGCAGCCAGCCAAGGAGCTTTTGTGGCCAGCTGTGATTTGAACTTGAACTTGCTGCCGGTCCCGCTCTTGCGCCCCCTCCTCTCAGTCGCATAAAACAACTAACATAAAAACTTCAAACCGAACGCATTGCTCGCATAGCAGAAAACAAGTGTGCGAATCGTATAAGATTAAAGCTAATCAAGCATGACAAGCATTCCTCATGAATTTCACATTTATCGTTTTTTTTAAGGGCCACACAGCAGCAAACAGTCGGCCACATAAATGTCAATCGTTAAACGATACACTTAAGAGGGGGAAAAAAGATGCCGCCGGATTCTATGGGGCATGGAATCCTACGCTTCCGGCCGAGAACGATCGTATTGTGAACATATAATTATGATTCAGATTATGCATATTGCCATTCTTAATCACACAAGCGAGCATAACGTAAATTGTCATTTAAATCAAACGAATCTCCAGCGAATTTCACGGTCAAGTGGAAGTGACAGAGGCGGAAGAAATTGCCATTTGGCGACGCAGGCCATGTTGTTGTTTTGTTTTCACCTGCAATCAAGTCAAGGTGTTGCCCGTAGCTTTCCAATTACATATGCTAGATAGGCGGATTTGCATAAGCATCGACATCGCCAGCTGATCGACCCGTTTGTGCACCCAAAACTGGTTACCGGAACCAAGACGCTGAATATTGATTCGCTAGAAAGTTGAATTTTCTGCTAGTGCCACTGCAGTTTGCCATTAACATCAACATTAACATTAACTTTAACCGATTCCCTTGCAGAGAACAAACATCACGTGGCCGGGGGTGAATGCAAAAGCCAAAAGCACGTAGACCCACCGACCAGAAAAAAACTCACTCAAAGCCCGGGTAACGAAAACCCACTCAAAACAAACGCACGGCAGCGGCGCAGTCGGCGCTGGCAGAGATCGGGCCATGCTTTATATAAAATCAACTGAGCATATCTGTTGGAATTCATTAAACGTTTTACTGCCACAGGCCGACGTACAGCGGTTCGAGATCCGACATCCAAAACCCGAGAGCTCCGCACACGAAATATCCACCGTGTAAGGCCCCAGCTTTTTGGAGTACTACTCCGCGGCAGTTAACAGCCATTGGATTCAGTTTTTCCTGGCTTCGCGTGCTCGTCGGTTGTCATCCATAAATAACAAACGCAAAACAGCAAAGAAAAAAAATCCATCGAAATAACGCATTACTGCATTTGTTTATGTAACTAAAGAATTTACCAAAAGAAACGTCAAAAATTAATGAAATACCAGTCGATTATAAATTCAAAGCTAAAACGTTTTCGTGTCAAGTAACTGAAAAGTGCCAGTGTTTAAGGCTGATATAATTCAAATATTTGTTAACTAATTGCAGCTTCTCACACGCACATCAAACAGCAGCTCAATCAACCAGCAAATATGAAATTCGTAAGTATTTATATTTGGTTTTTCCTCGTTAGCTGCATTTTGTGTTGCAAGTTCGTTGCCTAAGTCTTTCGTTTTTCGCGACAATTGTCACAGCTTTTGCATGGGCCGCTAATGCCCCGTAATTGTTAACACGCTCAAGCCTCGTTTAAGCCGCAAATGAAGTCAACTATTTCGGTTTGACAGTTGTCAAATGATCGCAGCGGTCGACAAGAGCATTGTTTGGTCCCCAAGAATTTTTATTGGGCCCTGGCACTCTAATTTATGGTCCACGGCGTCATGTGTCAGCGGGCCATGAAAGCCAGGCCACCGCCTCGATATGTCTATATCCATATAAGCCATATAACTTTATATGCATTATTTTCGGTGACCATCCATATCCATCCACGTTCAAGGCGCTGAAAATTTGATGGAAATTTGAATGCGTTTGACCAAAATATGCATATTTCGAACAAGGTTTTTTAGCATAATTTTATCTTGATAGCGACTGGAATGCTGCTCAATCATATCAGACTGCCTCAATATTTTATGGTTAAAATTTATTTTAAGAGCACATAAAAGTTTGTATTTCGTAATTTTGTATTTTCACTTTCGTTTGATTTTGATTAAACCAGTTGTTTTTTAATGATCAAATTAAAATGTTTTTGCTTCACAATGAATTTTAAATTAAATGTTTGCTTAAAAAAGGTTTTATTTGGTTCAACAACGATTCTCACATATAAACCATTTTAATTTTTAAACATTTAATTTTTTTCTGAATAAGACTTGTTTATTTGATAACGATATTAAAATTGAAATACTTCCGTAAGATAAATATTTTTTTATAGCTATTGCATTTTACTGTATTTATTTTATTATCATGCAAAGTTTATTAAACTGTTTAAAGGTTCAAAAAGTTACAGATTAAAAGTAAGCAAAGTAAAATATTTTATTAATATTATTAAACCCATTCAAAAGTCAAATTGCATCAACTGCTAATCAATTGATTTGTCTTAACATTTGAAACGCACGATTAGTCACCGAAAGCCCAAATAAAATGTCTTTACGTAGTCTGTGCAAATGGGTAAAGCCAAGCGGTTACTTTAACTAATTTTCATAAACGCTGCCTTATTTTCCCATCAAATTCTGAATCATGTCATAATTTATAGGTCAATGAAACAAGAAATTATACGCCTCAAACCAGATTTAATTAAAGTCTAAAGAGTTTCCGCCCCGCAGTTGGCAATCAAGTCGAGTAGCCCGCAATTACATGGGAAAACGCACGCAAAATCGCAGGCGTACGCGCAAAAAAAATAATAAAAAAAACTCTCAAGTTCACGATGAAGGCCATAAAGATCTGTGGTCCGGAGATCGGTGATCGGGGATCGGGGATCGGAGTTCGCAGACGGCAGGCAGACAGATCGGACAAGAAAACGAGCCGAAAACGTGCTTGGGCATGCGTTTTGTAACTTAATTGAAAAGTGCGATACACACGCGCCAATGGCCGGTGGCCAATGGACAAGAGCCAAGAGCCGAAATGCCAAAGCCAAGACCAATTGCCAGTGGCCGGCTGACCAACTCTCCGACTTCTCGTGTCCAATTGCGTGTCCCAAGCCGGCTCCCAGCAAAAGCCAAAACCGAAACCAATAGCTAACCAAACCCCAGATGCAGTCATGAATGAATCAAATGAACCGAAGCTGTGCGTGAAAAATAGCGAGGGAAAAAGACACACTGAGATCAAACTTAAACATTATAAAAATGCAAGCTTGCATTGCATTGGAAAATGGTTTATCTCAGAGTTGGGTGCTGAAATTTTGGTGGGGGGGGGTCTATCCCGGGAAAACTGGCACCCTGGGAAACCGCCATCAACGTCGCTCTCGATTAGGATTCGACCATGCACACGAACAAGATTTATTAATTGCTCTCAGCCAACTCAGTTAATCGCTCCAGCAGATGTCCGTCCGTCGAAAAGTAAAAACGTTTCTGCCTTTTGCACGCTTTGCGTGTGGAAATTCAAATTAATTGCCATACGTACTCGTACAATTTGATGTCGTATTTTGTATTTTGTATTTCGGATCTGGGGCTTTGGCTTCGGTTGCGGTTGGCTTGCAACTCTAATGAAGATGTCACGCCGGAAAGTGCCGATTGCTCAATGCCCAAGTACGGGGACGACAACAAGTCCACTCCATGCATAATTACTACTAGCACAGTTTCACTTTTTTGCTTTGCTAGTGGGCTCTGGGTCAGACTGAGTTATCCACACACTTTGTTGCAGATGTCTTTTAAAGTGTTGGGGAAATGGGTCCAAGAAATAGAAATTCGCTTCATATTTTCAAGATCTTCAAATAGGTATTTTAAGCAGATACAATAGAGTTCATTTAAACCAGATATAAAATATATATATATATAAATATATTTTATAAATAATGCAACTATAATTTATGAAATTCCACAGTTTTACTTAAACTTCCAAATTAAAAGTAATCTTTATTTTCTGCTCTAAACAATAATTTAATTTAAATTTCATTGTAAGTTCATTGGGTTCAATTTTAATTGTATAGCATTCACTATTTATTTGTCAAAGGATTTCTTCACAATTGATCCTCTAGTATAAGGGGTTTTATAGAATTCAGGTAATAATCCTTGAATTGGTAAAGTGATGTTTTGGTATTATGGATCCAAATCTTACTCCATTTCCAAAGGAGTGACTTCAGCCTCTGCAGGAGTGGGACATTCCGAGCCGGAGACACCGTCATCTGCGGCTCCAGGCCATGTCATTCGATATCGTCCCATCGAACGAAGCGGGCACAACAGTTTTTATTATGCTTTTCTGTGCCTGAACGGCGATTAGCGTTGGAGTTGGAGTTGGCATGGGATTTGGGGCTCTCGAGCTGCGTTGCTTTGGCTGTCGCAATCGCACGACTCCAGTGCGGGATTCGGATAGCCAGATACCCAGATAGCCGGAGCAGGGAGTCCATGTGTCCATGTAGTCAGTCACTCAGCTGGCCAGTCGTCAGGTCAGTGCGGTTGCGGTGGTGCTGTGCTCATGGCAAGTGCATGGCATGGCGGACACATGTCCAGTTGGGGCCCAAAACTGAACTGCCCACATGCGCCAGTTGCGAAAAGTATGGCATTTCTGCTAGATATTCGCGGTCCATTACCATATTTATGAGGCATGTGCGTCGTCGTCTGGCGCTGTGTTTGGCATTTTGTCAGACTCTAAACGATACAAATTTGCCCCGACTTGCAGCTTGGAAACCAGTTTGAACTTGAACCCATTTCACTGGGTCTTTTTGTCTTTTATGGCTTTGTTGCAGGAAAAAGGAAAATCTCGATTCTCACGCTGCACGACCGATGGGCAATTTGCACTTCCTAGCCAAATTGATGTTTAATAATTCAATTACAATTGACAATAGATTGGGCAACAATCAGCGGGGCAGCTGGCCACGAAGTCGCCAACTGACTCCATTTCCCACCTATTAAACACAATTCAAAGTAATTTGAAGCGGCAGTCGTCGGTTGTTGCTGTTCATGTTGATTTTGATTTGGTTGCTTTTGCCGTAGCCGTTGCCGTTTTCGAGGCTGTTGGTTGCACCTACTACATCCAACACTTTGCGTCGATCCAGCTTCGGACAAGCGGCGCTATTTGCGTTTATCCAAGCTCCCGAGCTCCCAGCTCTTAGCTCTTAACTCCAAACTCTTAACTTAAGCTTCCGTGTTGAAAGTCAGCCAAAGCCAAAGCCAAATCGTTGCTCAATCGAGCATTGACCCCTCTGCCGAAAAAGAAACCGCCAACACTGGGCGTTGCTATCGTTAACAAAAGATAACAATAATAACTCGTGTTCGGGGCGAGCTCAATTGTCTCGCTCCAATCACATTCACTTTTCCATCTGCGTGTAGTTTTCACATAAAATTAATTACGACCGACTTGCCAAATGACAAATCGCATAAACACAAGCAAGATTAATTAGCAGCTGTTTGGCTGCCACCAGGATATCCATCAGCTTTTCAGTTGTTGCCAGGCTCCCTCTGAGTCATGTAAATTTTATACTGGCAGTTAAAAACTTCTGGAGCAAATCGATCTCATTGAAAGTGCGGTTTCCATTACCTGTTAAGCTGGCCAAGCAATAAATATAGTTCACTTTAAACCGCCCATTGGAAGCAAATAAAAATCTAAACGCCAATAAACGCCAGCGCATAAATGAAAAATCAAATTGAAAATATGAAGGGAGTAACATAGCTAAACGGAGTTTGCTTGTGAGTGGACTGAATACCCCGTTGAAAGTGGCTGAAATGGAGCACTTCAGGTCTCTCGGACAGCCAAACTATAACAATCGAGAGTCAAGATTTTCAAATTATTATAGCTGATAAGCAATAAGCAATTAAATAAGTGTAAAATTGAAGGGGAAACTGGACTTGTGCAGTGCTGGCCTTTAAATACACTTAGTCTCATTAGCTAAAGTTTGAGGCATAAATTTAGTTCATCATAAGCACGAGAAAATCATATCTTGGTGGATAACAACCCCAAAGATAATACCACTTTTCCTATAGAAGAGTTTTTTTAAGATATAGAGCTAAAAACAGAACTTAATCGTAAATAAAACAAATGATCTACTTTCTAAATTTTTCTCTGTGGCTTATGATCTGAACGACATTAATACAAAAGCGTAGATCAATTACCGTAAAAGAGTCCCATTATTCAATTTCAAGGTAGGATCCCAGAATTATAGTTTATTAAGTTACAAATCAAGCGCATTTGCAGGTTAAAAGTGCACTAAACATGTATATTACAAGTCAAGAGCAGCCAGACTTATGAATCAATTCCAATTCAATTTCGAGTGCCACAAAAGTCGGCTTGCATGGGAGTTGCAGTTACTGCGGTATATCTGCGGCATGACAGAGCTATTATACCCCGAATCCAGAGGCTATCAGCCTTTCGGGCTAACGAGACAATGTAGCTATCGTCGTCCGTCCATGGCCGGTGCTCCAAGTCGCCGTCGTTGCTTAGTGATTTTATGCCTGGCTTTTTATTTGGCTCTGCCAGTGGAGCAGTACTATATGTGCGCTGGCACGCTCACATGTTGCTGCACTTAATCATTGTTTTGTGGGTGGGTGGGTATGTTTTCGCATGGGCCGCCGTTGGCCAACAGCAGCAGCCGCCGAGATCCGAGGTGCCTGTCTGCGTGCCTCGATTTTTGAGTTGTGTACTGTGGTTTCTCTAGTGGTTGGGGTGTTTTATGGCACAGCCCAAGTCGACCAATTACGAAATCATATCTAAGGTCATTTGTTTGGCTAATTTGTCGGAATGTGAGGGAGGTGCTGGGTGCAGGGGGAAGGGGGGGTTGCAGGCCAGGAAGACCGCAGGCATTGTTCCCAATCCCACCATCACCACCACCACTACCACCACCCGCTAATTAGCCCCAATTAAAAGCCACTAAATTAGCCAAAACGATTACTTTCGAATTCGCCATCTGTCTGTGGAGCTACTCTCGCGGCATTTGCAGCATTCGCGGAATTCCAGATGCAAACAGCCGGCTGACGACATTTTGACGGCTACATGTGTTTTTGCCAGATACTAGAGTACGTTGACTGGCGGTGGCTGGGTTTTCTGGCCAAGATTGACCGGCAGTGGCACAGATCAAGGGGAGAGCCGAAACCGAACCCAATCTAGTGCAAGCCATTCAAGCCACTGGTCAAGACAGATGGATCTAATTTGTTTAGCTCTGTTTTGTGTTTAATTTCAGTTTAAGGCATTTATGTAGGATGTTTGATAGATTTTTACAAGTGAATAACATGTCGTAAGATTTTATAGATGATGATTTAATAGCACTCAAATAAAAAGCCCATTAAGAGAAATGTTTTCACATTGCTTTTTATGTTATAGACATTTTTTGACTTTAGCTTATGTGTTTGTTAGTATTAAACAACGAATTTATTAAGGAAATAATATTGCCCAATTTTTAAACTTTTATTTACTGTAAGCAACAATAAGCGGATTAAAGTTATTGTCTAAACAATACTTTATAAATACTATTGGTTTAAATAAATGACACATTTTTAAACATAAGTTATTACTTATGGAACTTTATGACTATGTCCCCCAATAAATGTCTTTGATTTGAGAAAATGACAGAGGCAGTTTGTAATGCAACTGCTATGGATTAATGCCATTTCCGCAGTTAGCAGTCAAAATTTGTGGAGTAATCGTCGCAAATGAATTGCAAACCGTCGGCAGCTTAATCCCCAGATCAGATCATTAGTCACTGCTCAAGTGAGTCGAAATGACAGACCTGTGGCACTCTTGTATTCTGTCAGTTTTCCCTTAACGATCACATGTTCGCCGCTCTTGAGAACTCTGATGCCTACAACCGATTCCTGCGCCACTGTTTCCACTCTTTGGATGTGGATGTGGATGTGGATGTGGATGTGGCAATATGGTCGCAGTCTCTGCCTGGCCAACAACTAGGGGCACAACAACAACGGCAACAGCGGCGGCAAACACGAATTAATTAAAACTATTTTTTCACAAGTCGCGTTGGCTGCTTGTTGGCAACTTTGCGACCGCCTTGTTTGCATATTTTATGATTATTTTGGAGCATATTTTGGCTAATAGCAATTAGCGTTATTGTTGCAACTTGGACCCACAGGGTTCGTTTCTGAACCCTCGTAAAAATCATGGAAGCCAAGGCGCGGCCCATTAAGCAATTAATGAGGCCCGAAACACATTGGCAACATTTGCATTAGCAGCAGGTTGCATACACAGTGCATGCTGCATTTGGTAGCATTTGGGCCGATTGTCCAATCTATTGGGGCAGAAACAAAACCCGTTCTATTAAGTCAAATCTGCCCTATGATTAAAGTCAGTCTGCCAGCCAAGTGACGGCCTTAACTAAGACGTTCGACACAGGTCCAGCGACAGACAGCCGGAGTGGATTTATGAACCAGTCAGCCGGACAATTTGCACAGCATGTGGCCCCCATTCCCATTCCCATTACCAACCACCCCCACCCCCACCTCCATCTCCATTTTCATCCCAGACGATGGCGATCGAGGGGATTGGGGTCAGCGGGAAAGTAATCGCAGCCGTGATTGCCATTTAACAAATTTATCACACTTCGGCGCAGTTGTGGCGGCTTAACGTGATGTGCATTCAATAAACTGAATATAGTGAATAAAGCGCACCAATTTCTATGGCTTTGCTTTGTGAGGCTTTCAAAATGTTTAAAAAATGTGCCTTGGGAGACACAAATCAGCTGAAAACTTCCTGACGCCACACTGTAATTAAGATTTTATTTTTCTAAAGCACTTGCAATCAAAAATCATACTGGGTTGTTAAATGAACAATTAAATTTAAAACGCTCACACTTTTTAAGCCACTTCCATGTCCAATTAAAGATTGGAGAACGCAAGTCCAGCTGATATTTAAATGTTTCACAAGAAGGATCAGTTAAAGTAATGTTTTAATTATGTGGATAATTAACATTTTTAGATTGTCAAATCTTAGTATTTGAGAATGGCAATATGACATGGTGCAATGTCAAAACATAAAATACAAAAAAATCAATAACAATTTTCTAAGAAATACGTTACTTAAATCGCTCCATCTGACAATGTATTATATGTTGACAAACATACTTATTATGTTAAATGTTCAACAATTAGATGGCCATTGTTCGGGTGAATATGCAACCAGGCAACTCCCTTATTACGAACAAGATATGTACAATTGGGTCATATTTGTCATGAATTCGTCTTGGGCTATTGCACTTGTTGACGTGGCAAATTGCTTTGGTCTTTTGGCCATCGACCACAACCGAAATCGAATCGGTGGCGAACTGGAACTGTTAATGGTACTCAGGCTTTCTTGGCTTCTGGCCTGGCTCTCTGGCTTTCTGGCTCGTGCTCAAGGCGACTGCACTTGACCGGGCCGAAAGCGAGCCATGTGGCATTCTGCGTCTTGCGTTTGGTATTTAATTGTCGGCTTATGGCATTGGCACACATTTCCGAGGCTTAATTGCTTTGGCCAGCGTGTAACCAGTGCAATTGGCCCATGCATGCCTTCGGTCATACTCGTACATATGCTAACAATCCGCTCGTAATATCCAAATACCCAAATACCCCTAACCACATGTGCATTGTCCACTTCCACTTGCAGTTAGTCACCATCGCCGCCCTCTGCCTCTTCGTGGCCTTCGCCGCGGGTCAGCAATACTTTCTGGGCCAGTTCCCCAGCCGGGCTCGCTTTGGATTCGATCCCGTGGCGCTGGCAGGACCCTCATCCGCCACTCAGGTCCGGGATCCCCGACAGAACAGAGGTGAGTATGTGGGTGAAGGGGTTTCATTTTTTGCATTTCATAGAACTATGAAAAATGAGGTCTGTTTATTAAGATTCGTTTTTAATTTCAAGCCTTACCCCTATATTACTGTCAAGTTTAATTACTGTTTAATTATAGTTCATTTAAGGTAAAGCATTACCGTGATTATAAGAACACAATTTACTCCCTATATATTAATCTTGTACCTGGTTAGATAACTACAGACTTAAGTTGCATTTAGATTGTCCAAAATGACACACAAAGTTTTGTGTATGTATTATTATACAGTTCTATAAAATATTTGAATAAAATTGTTTTCAATAGATTAAAATGAAACCAAAATTTCAATTCAATCTGTGCTCCAATAGTTTGTATTTTCACACTTTTAAACCAAATTTTCTTGTAGGACCCGTGGTGTTCCCCCCATCCCCGCCAGATGCAGTGGACGAGTCCAGCGGCGTGGTCGTAGGCGCCTCCGGATACGGTTTTGTGCCGCCCCAGCAAAGTAATGCGAACCTCTTTAAACGCACTGTTTGAACAAAAATAGAGATAGCTGCTCCTCCATCTCAATTATCCACTCACACACACCCAGACACCCACACCCACACACACACACACTCCTAGAAGAGAAAAGCTTTATTAGTGCAATATGTAGCCGTGTTTTTGTTATTTCTTTGTTATTGTTAATTAGTTGCCCAGTAATTTACAATCCACACAAATGTCTTATTCGCAGGAAAACTCTCTGGTTAAAGTAACAAATCTTCCCCACACCGAATACCAAATCTTCCCCACACCACACTACACTATACCGATTACCAGTAATTAACCCAAAGCACACGAAAGCACACACACACTTTGCACACCAACAGCACCAGCACCGGAAACGGAAATGCGTCCCTCTTAGCTAATTGCAGCCGCCCACAAAAACACCCACTAACTCGGCACCTCTTCCCCCTTCCCCTTCCCGCTCCCCTCCCCTTAAAATAAACTTAACATTACTTAGTTTAATTAGCTTGAAAAACCCAATGTTAATTTCCACTTTATTGTTTCGTTTTGTATTTTTATTTCTCTTATGATTTCTGCTTCTTTATAATTTATATTTCAAATTGGAATTGTATTATGATTTTACTTTTTATTTTACCTTATTTTATTTGTAACAAGAAGCTAAATTTAAATTATGAATAAACCGAAAAATATTATTAAACAAAACAAAAAAGAAAACACCAACCATTTCTGTTCGCAGCATTTCGACTTGCATTTTTCGTTTGTCAATGCACCATTTGATTTGTATTTATGTTTTGTATATGGATAAGCACTCGATTGGCTGATCAGTGATCACCATGGTGGCAATTATTTTAAGCGCACATAAAACTAGCGCCTAATTAACAGCTCCGATCCGGCTTTGAAGTGCGGCGGCACCGCGATTGGATGGCGGGAAATAGAGATTGGGACGCAGACGCAGACGCCGACGAAGACGGAACCGGGGAAACCATTGACTGTGACCGCTTCCAATTCGACCAGGCCATGCTCTCCCCTCCAGTGCAGCTTCACACTTGGCGGAGCAGGCCGCAGACGAGCACATGTACTCCGGGTGGCAGACTTGTGGCGACAAAACGATGCGAATGCAAATCTCTAGATAAGCCGCTTTAGGTGTTGTATCCCTTGGCTATCTAGGTGTGATCTTTCCAGAGAACAAAACCAATTTCAAAAGGGACTACAGAAATGGGTTTAAGCCTTTAATCAATCCAGAAGTTTAGGAGAGTTTGAGAAGTATGAGAATAAGTTTGAAAACCAACTCACCATCTTTTGACTTTAAACAAAATTTTTAAGCCATTTCAAAATCAACATAATACTTTAAGATTCGAACAAAATACTGGGTACAAACAAGAAAGCTAATTTCGGGCTAAATATTTTATTAATTTTTTAATATAAACTTAAAAATCTACTTGTTAAACAAAAGACTTAGGAAACAAACTTAAAAACTTCAATTCAATTTTTAAAAATACAAAATTTTATTTGATTCTTAGGATAAATTTCCTTATAAATTGATCAAAAATAAGATTTTGGATTTCATACTTAACTTCTTAGCGTACAAAAAAAGTTTAGGTTTTTTAGCCATTCATTTTACACCAAGTGTTTAAATTGCCTTTATTTATTTGCTTGCTTGCCGTTATTTGTTTTGGATAATGTGTGGATAATTATGATAGTACCAATATCACAGACAAATCGAAATACCCTTAGCTGGTAGAGAATATAAACAGATTCCTTAACGACCCGAGCAGAAGCAGGTGCTGAAGCAACAATTGCTGTCTGCGATTCGCGACTCTAAGCCAGACCGCAAACGGTCCCGTGCCGGATTCAAAGTGAACTAAGAGAGGAATCTGGTCTGGCGAGGAATGGAGCATTGGAATGGGGGGACGGAGCAGACGGTGGCCAGACGGAGTCAATGATATGCGCGACTAATGCGACTTTGCTCGCTTTGCATTTGCCGCATGCAAAATATGTTGGCAGTTGATTTTTTTTCGCTTTTTGCGAGTGGAGCTTGCTCTGTTTTTGCATATCGATTTTGAGCATGCAGAAATGGAGCAACTTTTTCTGTGCGAGCTGGAGGACTCCAATGTAGACTCCGACTCCAAACTCATTGTACAAATGAATGGAAAGACATTTCACAATGGACTGGAACAAAAAGCGTAAAAAGCGATCGAAGCAACGACGCTAAGTTGAGATAATTTTTACAATTTGACAATTTATGCACGATTGCTGAAAAGCTCGAAAAGTCGACAAGGACCAGCCATTGTGTAATTAACTTTGCATGGCAAAAGTTCTCTCTCCCCCAATCCGCAAAACCATAAAGCCAAATGGTTACGCAGTGGGACTCGGCTTCCTGATGAGGACTGCCTGCGGCTAGGAGGCCCACTGGCCCCCAGGCCGTGGTAATGGTTATAGCAGCGCCAATCTATAACTGAAGCCGCAGCGTAACAATTGCCCAAGACTGGCGTAGATTAATGGCAGCTCCCCCGCCCCAACAGCCCCCCATTTGCCCTCCCCGATCCCCTCCGGATTTAGTTCCAGGCATGAATTCGAGCGGCGATTGGCCTGCCGCATTGGGCAATCCCCAGCCACAGCCACCCACCACAATTACACAAAGAAAAGTTGTTTTGAAACAAAAGCTTCCTCAAAATCTCAGATTTTAGTTCTTCAAATAGCTGTAATATTATTACTAATTATTGAAATGCATTAAAAAATGCACAAGCATAAAAGTTCGAGTTTGTTTGTTGCAATGGGAAAACAAAAGACTTTAAAAACAAACCTTACTGTTCTATTGATAAAATTTCTTTCATTTTTTGTTGTTGCACGTAATTATTATTAATTTGATTTTGTTACTCACAAAATTACTTATTATTTTGTACTCGATTTACAATTAAAGTATGATGTTTAGTAAATCGAACTCTTTACTCTTTGCTCATTTTTAATCTTCATTAAAACGGCACTATTTTGTCGAACAATTGATTTCACATTTTATGGTTGAAAGCAGTTGTTGATTTTGGAATGTTAGTTAGGATATCCCCAAAATATATCTATATCTTTGGACCATAAATGTTGTTAGTGTACATTCCGATTGGCAGGGGTACCCAATGTGGTCAAATGTGACCGACATTCTAATCAAAGTGGCTGGGCGTTGTCAGACGGACGGACGACTCGGTGGACAATCAAAGGCGATCGGCCAACGACTGTGACGTCGACTCCGTGATTGCAGCGGCGATTGTGATTGACGACGGAGTGAGCTTTGAGCACGGCGCAACCTTCGAGCTGTGTCATTGGGTGACGCCCACGCTTGGAATTCACCACTTGGCACTCGCAGCAACCACAATTAATACCCCCTCCAAGAGCACTTGCCCAATATCCAATAATCCAATATTAATCACGCCGCGTCGAGTGAGAAACCCAATTAAAATGCTTTTGTTTGTTCGAACAGCAGCGGCACTTGTGGCGGCGGCGGCGGCGGGAGATCCGAATACGTTCTTTAGCACCACATTCCAGACCCCCGACACCGCCTATGCGACATACAACTTCTTCGGAAGTCCGTACACCACGCGGTTTAGATACTTCTGAGCCCGACGGAGGAGCTGTGGCCAAAGTCGAACCCCGAGTCATGTTGAGTGGTCAGTGGCGCAGGCACTGATTGCTGCCGGAGCACTAGGAGCAAGAGCTGGAGACTAGAAACAATTTTCTTGTAAATAAATGTGTTAACTCTTATTAACAAATAAATAGGAAGAGCGTTTTTATATTGAATAAGGATAAAGCGACTTCAACCATGCCAAGATCATGTTCTTCTTTAAATCGAATAACTCATATCAAGAATAGTTTTGTAATTAAAATACACCTGGATCTCTAACTAGGATGTTGTACAATTTTTGCACTGAAATATATTAATTTATGAAAGTAAGTATACGCATTAATTGATTTTATTTTATTCTAGTTAAAGAATTAAAAATAAACAAAAGTTAAGTATAAATTCTTAATACATAAATTGGTTGCATTTAATAACCAAGCACATGCCAAAATGGAATAAACTTGATACAAATTTATACTTAAGATCATAAAAAAACACCAAACTCAAATTGAAACATTTTATCACTTTTTATCGTTTTATTAATTATTTATATATAGTTTTTTAGAAGTCAGCCAGGGGTCGCATCTTGTTTTGAAGGTCTACAATTTTCAAATAAATAAGATAATTCATTTTTGGCTTTTAAAATGTGATTACCCTCAATTATAATTTACCGTCCAATCATAACATTATTAAATTATGTTGAAAACTAACGAGAAGTCAGCTTACGTCCGAGCTTTTTTTGAACTCCAATTTGAATTGGCAAACAAAAGACTTGGGAAACGAACTTGAGAGCGTGCAGATCATTTGCATTGCTGTGGCCTAATTGCAACATCCCTCCTGTCTTCAGTTGGGAAATTGGCAGGCAATCGACAATTGGCGATAAGGATTAGTAGGGTGAGTATTGGCAATAGAAGCCGGGCAATCGGAGCACGCACGTCTGGGGCATCGTCAGTGGCTCTGGAATGCTGCGAATATGGCCATTGCGGGAAATCTGTGCAACATGACATGACAGCAGCGCCACAATTGCATGTTGCTGCTGTTGCCTGGCAGTTGCTGTTGCCATTGTATGGTAAATTACGTATACGCCCGGGCGGCCGGGGCAAAAGACAAAAGCTGGAGCCAAAGTCAAACCGGGCGGTGTTAATTTCCAGTGACACTGGCGATGTTGCGACCAGAGTGTCCGCCACCGCCGCCGCCCGTTATATTTATTTATTTATTTGTATTTCTGCGACTGTCAAAAGCCAAAAGCCGAGCTGCACCGCACTAGAAAAAGTCAACAATTCTCGGTCGGTTTCACAACAATGGGCAACGGATCATTAGCAATGGCATGATTCACAGCCACAGTTAAAATCCGAATGTGCCCGTGGAGCTGCGGAAAATGCCGACTTTGTCATAATTTTATTTTTATTTGAAGTGCGGCACAGGAACAGCGCCAGGGCAGGCGTGTTGATAACCTTGTCGACCACAAGAATTTCCAGCGAAACGACAGTTTGCCCGACTGCACCGGAAAAAAATGAATTCAATGTCTAAAATATTAAGAGATTTACATATATTTTCATTTTAAAACCTTTTACATTTCAAACTTGTCAATTTGTCTTACTGTTCAGGTTTATGGAAAAATGTTGATTTTCCTAGTATTTTCATACTTCGAAATTTTTTGAACTTAAAATTAAATCGATTCTGTTTATTTAGGAGTTCAACCAGAAATGACATTCCACTTTTTTTCCACAATTTTTCAAAAAAGGGAAATAATATTTTCAATAAAAATCAGTCATGAAAAGTTATCTATTATTTAATATCAACTTTTCTCGCTGTGAACAAGTAAATTTTATGCTCCTACACCGCAGGCAATAAATGAAAATGAAACCAATGAAACCGTGAAAACGTGTGTATATGACTGAGTGTGACAAATAAACAATCATGCAAGGGGGCCCCGGGAACCAGTTACCAATCACTCCCGGTTCCCGCCCATTCTTTGATCTAATTTTAAAGTGTCGCCTTGCCAGTTCCGTGCAAAAATCACGTAGCCCAAACGCTGCCAACGGCTGACCTTCAGTTGATTTGCAAATAATGCTTTTTAGTTCAATTCCGACTTGCAATTAGCAAATTCTATTAAGACGGCAATGGCCGGACAAACAGTGGCAGTAATTAACATAATTCCAAATTTACTATCACTTTTAATTGCTCTGCATTTGCGATTGTTGGCCTTTCCAAACCCACCAGCGATGAACGGTGCTTGCAAAGCTGCTATTTGTCACATATTCCAAGGCACTGGCAGTCACAGGTTGCGGTTATATCACGTGTATTACGTTTTCAGGCGGAATTAAGGTTCTCACAGTCACAGCTAGAGCCATGACATGGTTCAGATAATTGCCAAAATGAAATATTATCAATGCTGATTGTAAAGTTATTGACTTAACAATGATGCAAAATAGGTAACGTTAAGTGTAGAGTACTGCCGGTTAAAGGACTGATAATATTTTGTCAAGTAATAATTCCTAATTAAATTATAAGTAACTTAATTCACTTAAGTTTGTTATGGGGGAATGATAAGAGTGTTTATGCTAAAGATAATGGCTCAGAGAAAAGTGACCAAATCCTAGTTTACTAAGACCAACTAAAAACCTATTTCGAAGGGTTACACCTCTAAAAGATTAATCAAAATGTAGTAAATTATAAGAAATAATATTACAAGTCAAACAGTGAATTTATTTATTTAATTAAATTAATTTGAATTATTGCGGTTGTCTCTAACGTGTGACCATCGAGCACCATTGCCGAAATACCGATAACTAATCAGCAAAAACAAAGAGTGATTCGACTCGGTCACGGAGTCCGGTCCCACTAGTTGCCATACACTGCGAATATTCCAGATTTTAAGCGAATTTTTCATACATAAACCGATACCAAAACAAAGTAATAATGGAACAATGCTACAACAGAGGCTGTGGCCAGCTCTTCGATCCGGCGACCAACAACGATGGTAAGCCGGTTGATGGTTATATTCAAGCACATGTGTGCTGAGAACTTTACCCCCCGAATCCCGCCCAGAATCTTGCCGACACCATCCGGGCGATCCGTTCTTCCACGACGCCTACAAAGGTTGGTCCTGCTGCAACAAGAAGTCTGTGGACTTCACCGAGTTCCTCAACATCAAGGGCTGCACTCTGGCCAAGCACTCCAATGTCAAGCCGCCGGAGCCAGAGAAGCCGGTTAAGGAGGAGTCGGACAAGGACGAGGTCATCGAAGTGCGCGCTCCCATCCGGGAAGCCCTGCCCCGACCGCCCATAGAATCACCGCTAACCGTTCTGCAGCCGACGGTGGCTCCTGCCTTGAAAGAAATCGTTTTTACGGCGAATACCCCTGTGGCAGAGAAATCCAGCGACTCCATCGATGTGGGCACCAGTTGCAAGAACAACGGATGCTCGTACTCCTTTGCGGGCACCAGCAGCGACTACGGCGAGTGCACCTACCATCCCGGAGTGCCCATCTTCCACGAGGGCCTCAAATTCTGGTCCTGTTGCCAGAAACGGACCTCGGATTTTGCCCAGTTCATGGCGCAGAAGGGTTGCGCCTATGGACAGCACAAGTGGGTAAAGGAGGTGAGTCTAAAGCGAGTATCCTAGTAATAACCAGACTAATTTATTGTACGCCCCTTCCAGAACGAGGATAAAAAGGTAGTGCAGTGTCGCTACGATTGGCACCAGACGGCCATCGATGTGGTCGTGGCCATTTATGCCAAAAAATATGATTACACCCAGAGTTTGGTCGAGCTGAATCCCATCAGGCTGCATGTCAACCTGGTTTTTCCCGAGCAGGAAAACGCCAGGTTTGATCTGGACCTGGAACTGCGCGGCGTAAGTCCCCAATAGACCATTTTTCCCACGACATTCAATTTTATCTTGCTTCCTTTTAGATTGTCAATGTGAGCAAGGCCAGTGCGCAAATGTACGGCACAAAAGTGGAGATTACTCTGCCCAAACTGGAGCCCGGCTCGTGGTCTAACCTGAATTTCCCGAACAAGAAACTGCCAGCAGCCAAGAAGATCCAGGAAGAAGAAAAGCCAAAACAGGAGGAGAGTGACGAGGAGTTCTTCGACCTGGACGACATCAAGTCGGTGACCAGCTACCAGCTCTCAGAGTTGAGTCTGCAAAACCAAAACAACTTAGATTAATAAAGAGTTGGCATTTAATGTTTATTTACAATACACGAATATGCCTTGGAGAAACATTATTTTACTCTAAAATCATCGTAGCTTAATCATCGTCGTCATCGGCTCCGGGCACCCAATCCTCGTCGTCATCATCATCCAAATCCAGTTCGCCAAGATCTTGGAACAAAGCTTCATCGATTTTGACATTTTCAATGCTTTCACCCGCCTCCAGGAGGAACTTGATGTCCGAATCGTTGAGCGTGTTGTCGCACATGAAGAGTTCGCGTCCGGTCTGCTTCTTGGACACATTGTTCTTCTCCCGCTTGGCCGCAATGCCAGTGCTCTCCTCGAAATCGAGTTTCCACGTCAGGAAAGATTCCACAGTGACCCGGGTGCCTTCGAATTTCTTGCGCTCCTCCTCCTCCGACTTCTCGCAGCTTTTGCTCTCGCAGCTCGTCCTGGTGGAATTTGTGCTCATCCCATCGCTCGTTTAGCCACTCTTGGGCGCTGCTCACCAGCGAGAAGACCATTTCCATGCCCAGGTTCTCCTCGATTGTCTTTTGCAGGTGTTCCAGCAGAAGGGGTTCGAAGGCGTCCTCAAAGTTCTCCGCTTCCTCGATTTCTACAATGGGCGCACCATCTGGATAAGTAGGTGTGTATGTGAAGACCAGTTTGCAAGACAGTCCATTCTCGGGCTCATCCGAATTGTATTCCTCGGTGGCAATGGGAATCTGGAATTTGTGGTGTGGTTCCGTGGCGAGAACTGGGAAAGAGTTTTTAGAGCTTGGATTCGAAGGAAATTCTTTGTTTCTTACTCTCCATTTCGCCGCAGTATATGGAGTCTAGCGCCTCAACCTCATTGGTCTGGTCTTCCTTGTAGTTGCGGCTCATTGTATTGTGCGAATTTAACAATAAATAAAAGCAGCAAATCAGTCGCCGCCGCTTTGAGGTTACTTGCTACTGGTGATTAATGCACGGTCAGACTGCATGATCGAATCTTAAGTCAAGATAATTAGATGTCAAAAAGCAACAAAATTAAATAGTACTCCGCGAAAATGTGAGTTACAATTAGACTTTATTAATTGTAAATAAATAAAATAAATAAGCATCATATCCCATCATGCTGCTTGAACGTGCCAGAAAAGATGAATGTGCTGCCACTCTGAATTTACCAAGGTTGCCACATCAAAGTCAGTTATTTTTTGATAAAATAAATTTTATTTACAAAAAACTGTTTAAACAAGAAAAATAAATTTAACGTTGCCACATAAAAATTTCGTTTTTATATTTAATATTTAATTAATAACTTGTTAAAGAAAACAAACATCATTGAACTTAAAATTTAACCACAAATTGTCATTAAAAATTCTGCTTAAAGTAAATTGAACAGTTATTCATTCATAAACTCCTATAAATAGTTGATACTGATGCTTTGTCGGCCTGCAACTTTTGAGTTTTAACGATTTATTTTATTACATTTACCGATCCGGAGCCTCCAATCTGGAAAAGAAGAAATGTAATTTAGAAATTGATTCAATGTTTTAAAAAATATTCCCACTTGTGCACTGTAATATGGTTGCTGGCTTCGACCGCAGTGTCCTGGGGCGTAAGGAAACAATACTGACGCGACATCCACTCCAGGCCCTCACCGATCAGGATTTCCGTAATAAACTTACGGTTTACTTCGTCCTGAAAATAATCACGTTCTTTGGGATACTAAAAAAAACACCGACAATTAAAACAACTCACAGTAAACACGTCGTATTCGTCTAGAAAATAAAAGGGATGGTCTGAAGTGCTCCAAAGTCCTTTTAGCAAGGAAACTGTGGTAAACGAGCGTTCACCGCCTGATAAGCTTCTGGTGTTGGAAGTTTCGTTTCCACTGGGTGGGAATACATTGATCTTCCACGTTTTCTCTTTGTCACTGGACTCAAAACTAACTTTAAATTGTCGCATGGCTAGGGCTTGCTGTAGATAATAAAAATAATTATTTGTTTAAGGCAAATTTACAGGTTCAAAAACTAAAATTATACCTCAAACTGAAACTGAACCATGGTAAAATAGTGATGGCGACATCTCTGGAAAAGTTGCGCACGCTGATGATATGCCATGCGTAGCTTCTTGATGACGGAATCGACCACGGCCAAGTGCCTGGCTTGAAGGCCCAGATCGTCTCGCAACATACTCAATTCTCGCTCCACATCTTCGGTATTGTAGTTTAGCTGCTCCACCTGCTTAATCTTAGATTTATAGCGACTAATTATTTCGCGTATTTTCTCCTCCGATTGCGTCGTGGCTATAAACTCTCCCAATTTCTCAGCCTCACCGCGAGCCTTCTCCAACTCATTTAGCACGGTCTCCTTCTCGTCGATCATTTTCCTTTCGAGCTGCAATGTTTTCTGAAAATTTCGAGTATTTTCCTCATAGTGAAGGTCTAGACTACGAATCTTAGACTCTATTTCGCGAGCTTCTGTGTCGAGTGTGGAAAGCTTTTCATTTATTCCATTAAGAGCCATATTTTCTTCAGCTGCGGTCGCATCTAATTCCGCCTTGCGTTCTTGAATTTCATTTAATTTTTGGTGCAGCATTTGGCGTTCTTCTTTGCATTTTTCAATTTTCTCACCGCTATCGGCCAAATGGGATTTCTATAAGAGCAAAGTAATAAATTATAATAACTTGGTTGTGGCCTTATCTGGATTTGGACTTACCAGACGATCATATTCGGGCAGCTCTTGGTAGTCGAAGTTTTGCAATTCCATTATCTGCTGCATGGCCCGCTGATTCCTCGATTGATGCTGGCCAATCATGGAACCTCTCTTGGTAATTTCAAGTTGGGTGTTCTCTGCTTTCTTCTTATGTTGCATATAGTCTATTTCAAGAGACGCATCTTTTTCATCAAGCTCACTTTTCTCCATTTCGAGCTGACGGATGCGATCATCGACGTTTATGTGTATATAACGCGCTGGATTTATTCTTGAAGAGTACACGGCATAGTTGGGGGAGGGAATGTACTCCAGTCCTAGGTTCGGTACCAGCACCCTCGTCAGATGGGGAGGCACATTCTCAGTGTCGGATGTCAGGAATTCTGCGATCTCTTTGGACTCCGTCACCAGGACCGTCTCGATGCGCAGCATATCGATGAGATAGTTCATTACCACCGGATCGTCACAGCTGAAAATAAGATATTATTAACCAATAAATGTGTTACGATATATACGTATTTTTCAATCGCACTTACCTGATCTCATCTATCAGCACGGTGGTATTTGGCGTGGTGGGTCGCACCTTGTTCCTGGACACGTCGTAAACGCGATCAGTAAAAGGACTGGTGATGATGGTGGGAATATTCCCACCATGAAACTTATTTTGTAGCAAATCTCGCAGAGATTTGCGCTCCTTGTCAGAGCTAACTATGTAGGAGCGCAGACAGGACATGAGCTGGTTTTCTACCAGATCCCGATACTTGGGATTAGGCGCACTGATGTACTGGCCCAGAGGCCCACGGGGCATCCAATGCATATTAGGGCCAGCGTACTGAGTGCGCAACGTACGAACGACCTGTATTGCCTGCTCGCCGTACACAGAGAGTTCATTGGACTTATTCCGGGACAACGACTCGATATTCCCCTTGATGTTCTCTGTAAAAAATAGAGATGTAACAAAATAACTTAATAAGATAGGTATTTACCCACGTTTTGATTTGTGCAGCTGAATTCTCTCGTTCTTAACCGACTCCACCCTTTCCTGAACCGACGTAATGTCTTTCTTTATCTGCTGCTGCTCTTCCCGCAATCGAGCTATGACCTCTTCTCCATCAGCAACAAGCTTTTTCAGCGCTTCCATCTTTTTGGCGTGCTCCTCCCGTTGTTCCTTAACCCGGTTGAAGTCGGCATGGTAGTTTCCAATAAGCTTCTCACATTCATCGTATGCGTGTTGATCCTCTCGCATGCGTCGTTCGGCGTTTCCGATTTGGGCTTTTATAGCACTGGTTTTTAAAAGCAGTTCCTGGACCGCTCGTTTTGCTGTTCTTAACTTTTCATCCTGGATCTTGTAGGTCGCCAAAATTTGATTTTTAGTCGCCTCAAACTCCCTGATAAGGAACAAAAATAGATGAAATATTAAATTCACAAATTAACTGTAATTATCTTTAGATCTTAGCTTACCTGAGTTGTTGGGTCATTGTGGCTTGAGTACTCTCTTTTTTGGATGTGGTATGCTCCAGCTTGGCCTTCTTGCTTTCAATCAGTTTAATCGAATGTTCCAGATTGTTAAGCTCTTCCTGGTGTCGCGTCACAGCCATCCAGGCTAACTTTACCTTGCACTGTTCTAGTTTTTCCTAAATATGTATAGTTGTTATTAACAATCCAATATTACTATATTCAGAATGCCTTCTATACCTTTACAATTTCCTTATTTTTCAGAATCGACAACTTTTCTTCTTCAGCTTCAACCTGCTTGGCCACGACATCTCTTTTCTGTTCAATTTAAACAATACACTAAAATTAAGAGACAGGAATTATTATAAACTAAAGCACATCCAACCTTTTCTAATTGATCTAGGTCTTGGGTAAAGTGACGTCGCTGTGCATGACATTCGGTGAGACTGCTAGTGCAAACGTCCAGTTGAGTTGCCTTCATCAGCAGTCTGTAATTCGAAGCCGGCTCCAACCTGCAAACAATAATATTAGCCTAAGTCGCGATTCTTACTGGGTTTCGGTAGCTCTATTTACTCTTTCAGAAACTCCCGCGCCGCTTCCTGATTCAGCACAAAAATGGGATTCTCTACATTAATGCCGAAGCAGAGCAGCACGCGTCGGATTTCAGCTACTTTCTTGGAGACGCTTTTGCCGCGTGCATCTTGTAAGTCGTAGGTCGAGGACGAATGGCGAATTTGACGCACCACCGTGAGATGGGGCCCAAAGATGTCCGCCTTATAGGGCCGCAATCCCGAATTAGACAAGGTAATGGCAATGCTAGCACTGGCCTCGCCGTTTTTGATTAGCTCTGGAAACGAAGAAAATAGTGTGACTATTGGATGACTGATTTCCCTTTTGGTAACCTACTCTGTATACTGCTGGCCCTGCTGGTGGCCCTAGCACTGCTGGTCAGACCTAAAGCCAAAGCTGTGATCACGGCGCTCTTTCCACTACCATTGTTGCCCACGAGGAAGTTGATATTGGGACCAAACTCCATGAATAGATTGGAATGGCACATGAAGTTGGTGAGTCGCATAGAAATCACTTTGCCGCAGCGATCGAAGGCGTTTGGAATGGACAGCTCAGACTATGGACGACAGAAGATAAATACGCATGGCGTAGATGGCACGTCTGCATTACCTACCGATAGAGTAAAGCTGCACGCACTCTGCGACATGTTTGCTCGTGTCTGGCGCGCTTTAGTGCTTTGTGACCTTGGTGCCTGCGAAGTAGACGCTTCCTGAATACTCTCCATCTCTTCCTCTTCAAGATATTCGACATTTTCCGCTTCCTCCTCGGCCTCGGATTCGGTTTGGGCGAACCGCTTACTTCTCTTGCAGCTGGGAGCTGCCGTGGAGCTATCGTTCTCCGAATCGGACGATGGCTTCCGACGAATCCTGCCCCTTCGACTCCGCTCCATTGGGTTTGGATCTCTACGGATAAAAAGCGCGGGCCGATTTGAAAGTAAACAATTCAATGTTAACCAACTCCAGACATACTTGGCTTGCTTGCTTAAAAAAGCTTAAGTTATTTATGGCGTCCCTGTGTAGATAATTCCGATGCAGCATAAGCCGAAACGCAGTTTGTAAAGCAATTTTGATAAATTTCGCCACAAAAATCAGCTTGATTCAGTGGCAGTGTGCCCAGATGAATAAAACAAAATGACGTCGAAAAAAAATTACAGTATAAGCAAGTACAGTAGATATTCGATTCCTTCGTTTTAAGAAATTTAATTTATAATAATTACAATTTATAATTTATAACTTGAATTATTAGTATAGTAGTGCTCTATATTATCTATGAAATATTTTTCTTAATTTGCGCGAGCAATGCGCTTCACATGTTTCACACTCAACTGATGCATACTTTTTTCTCTTTTTGGGATTTCTAAACAATCTCAATAACGCTATGTCAGGATCTGATGAAGATTGGTTTAACCAGGATGAGGAGGAACTGGTGCAAAGCTTGGAGCAAAAGGTGAAGTTCCAGGAGCGGGAGAATAAAGAGGAGCACATAGAATGCCGAGCGCCCGAGGGCAAGTTTTTCATCAGTCTATAAGCCTACTGTAAAAATTGTAATATCAACCCTTCTGATTTCAGTGGGGGATTACTTAAAGCAACTGAACTTGGAGGCCTTTTCTACAGATGGGAAAAAGGATGAAAAATCCTCCGGGCGGTTCTCCCTGACCGAGTTAACCAAGGCTATGAAAATGCCGCCCGTCGACATGTTCCTTTACTTCCTATCCGAGGAACGAGATCTATTCGTCAATCAACTGGGGGCCAATGATAGCGTGAAGCGTGTCAGCCTGTTTGTGGATGTCGTGAAATCGCTCTGTCAACTCGAGTTGGGCGGATTTGACGAAAAGTTCCTGTCCGCATTTAGCCGACAGTCGGTGCTCCTAGACAAGATCCGGAATCTTCTCATGGCCAAGGCTTCTGTGGGTAAATGCGACGAGGATTCGGCTCTGATATTAAGGAACATAAAGTGGCTGCTGCTACGTGCCCATAAGCTTGGAGTTTTGGACAAGCAGGGCTACGAATTGGTAGAATTGTACAAAAAGCTGGCACGTTCCTTTAAATCGGACTTTATTGAAGGTCTGGAAGCATTTAGCGGCAAACATTCCCATAATGTCAAAGGGCAAATCTACCCATCGCTAAACCAGTTCCTGGGAAAAGAAGGGGTTATGGAAATTCCTGACCAAGAACCTCCTCAGTCTAACGAAGTAGTCCAATATTTGAACAGACAGCGGCATTTACTGGTCGAAGATTTTTCTACCCCATTAATCGAGTTTGTACAGCAGCTGCGCGCTGAAAAAGATCTACAGGATCTGGAGCAGCAGAATCTGTTGTGGTCCAGTGCCTATCTGACCTTAAATCCCCAGTTTGCCGAGGCTCAGCGACACAGCCTGGTTTTCCTTAAAATCGAATCTACCGAAAGTTCAAGGAATGGTACTAAGAATGGACTGGACAACATAAAATCAGGGGCATTACTCTGTTTAACAACAACTCTGGCTTTCAATGATATTATTCTGGCTTCCGTTGGCTACACAGAGCCCGAAAAACTAAAAGAGGGCTGTGTAAGTGATTTACTGATCTACTGATACCAAGGTTATTTTTCTAATACTTTCCTATATTTCCATAGCTAAGTGTCCAGATTGTCAAGCAGTATAACATTGGCAACATTTACGATCGACAACTGTTTATGTTTCAGACGCCCGTATTTTTCGAACCATATCTAAGGGTTCACAATTATCTGAGCACCTGCAGCACGGAGCAGTTTCCCATGCGTCGCTATATTGTAGATGGAGAGGTAAGAACATATTAACAGACTAATTAAAGTGTATGTACTAAAAACCTAAACGATTACATAGTTTGAAATACGACCACCTTCGTATATTAAACCAGGACTCAAGCTGAGTCTTAATGGCAAACCCTTTACGCTGGACAAACCGCCAACAAATCTTTCTTTCAATGAAAGCCAGAGCACAGCTTTTAAGGAAGCCCTTAGCAGAGAATTCAGCATCATACAGGGACCTCCAGGCACGGGCAAAACGTATCTCTCAGTCGAGTTGGTTAACAGTTTGATACAGAACGCCAAAGTTTTGGGCACGGGTCCCATCATTGTGCTGACCTATACCAACGATTCGCTGGACAAATTCCTGGTAAAGGTGTCGCAATACACCAAGGAAATACTTCGTTTTGGCTGGCAGGCGCGAGACCCGCAAATAGCCAAGTTTAATGCGCATGCCATGATCAATCCGGATTTGGTGCCGCCTCGCTTGAAGCGAATTTGGTGGCTGGTAAACTGCGAATACAAGGAGAAGTTCCAGTTACTGCAAAGCCTGTACTCCAACTTCGATGGCAGCGAGGACAGCTACCAGCAGACACTGTTGGCCCAGGAGCAGTTGCACCAGGTGGCCGAGAGGATCGACACATTGCGCATGATTTTCCAGTTCTTTCTGGCAAAGGACAAGGATCTGCTGGCCATGACCACCACGTGTGCTGCTCGCTTAAACTTTCTCTTCCGGCTGCTAAAATCAAAGTGCGTAGTCTTCGAGGAGGCGGCCGAAATTCAGGAGGCACACATCCTGGCCTGTCTTACGCCGCACACGGAGCACGTTATCTTCGTCGGCGATCACAAGCAACTGCAACCCTTTACCGGAAGTAGTCAGGTGCCACAAATCTCCCTCTTTGAACGCCTCATCGTGGCGGGTATGCCGTACTCCCTGCTCAATTACCAGTATCGCATGCGTCCCTGCATTTTAGAGCTCCTGGTACCAAGCATTTATGCCGAACTGATTTGTTCAGAGTCAGTGAAGGAATACGAAGACATCCGTCGCATGGAACATAATTTATTCTTAGTGCAGCACAACCAACCGGAGAAGCGGTCCACGGACATGTCCTTTCAAAATCCCTACGAAGCAGAAATACTGGTAAAATTAGTGGAATTCCTTATCGAGAAGGCTAAATATCAGCATGGTGATATTGTGATACTATCACCGTACAATGCGCAAATAGAGTGCATTAAGAAATCGGTAAGTAAATATAACTGGATATAAATGTTTTAATTTCATTGACTTTCCTTTCTGTACAGCTTCCCCGCAAATATCGGTCAAGTGTCCAGGTGGCCAGTGTAGATAGTTTTCAGGGTTTGGAGGCCAACATAGTGCTTCTCTCTCTGGTCCGCAGCAATCCGTCCGGCCAAATTGGCTTTTTGAGACTTCCGAATCGAGTCTGTGTGGCTCTTTCTCGGGCCCGATGGGCTCTTTATATTATCGGTAATATAGAGAATTTGCAGAAATCCTACCCAAAGCTTTGGGGTCCCATTGCCAAACGTTTGAAGGATAATAATGCCATTGGAGAGGCTTTCCCCATGTTACTGAATAATTAATATGTATATATACGTTTGATTCTCTCTTGACTTTATTTATATTGATGAAGGGATTCGGTGAATAAAGATCGCCGCTGATGATGTGCGCCTCTTTTATGTCATCAGTTTACATATTTATCTTGTTACACCACGACATTGAATGGAGTTTACAATGAGGGCCGGACATGGAATTGTGTGTGCTGAAACGTTTCCATGGCGGATGGTTATTGGACCATTCGATACTTATAAATATTTCTTTACCGACATTTATTTTGTATTTTTTGCTGCACGCCAGTATGTACACATAGTTAGTAGTTATATAAGATCTCTTTAGGTCTAAATATGCACAGTAGGGTGGGTATATTTGTTTATCTTACTATAGAATCTGAGAGGCGAAGAGCAATCCATTGAATTATTTTAAAAGATTCGCATTCATTGCAGGTGCAAAAGAATTTAAATCTAACGAAATAAAATAATTCTTTCGGAAGAAAGAAATATCCTTCAGAGCTAAAGTTAATTTCATTTAAGTATCAATGTATTACTTTCCGCCCCAAAGAATTTTGAGTTGATGTTTTAACATACACACTGCACACTTTAACATCCAATGCACTCAAAAATAAGAGTTGATCGATCCATTTTCTTTCCAATGTTATACATTTCATGAATCTGTGCTGCATTATCAACTAGTTAAAGGATCTATTTTAGTTTGCACAATTTACTTGACTGTCCAAGAAGTAGCTATACACATAAGTGGTATCTTGTAACTTTGACACGGTCAAAGGACACAAATTAGAAACGGATTCATCAGATAAATTTGCATAGTTTTTTTTTACTTAGATAGCTCTTTTTGTTTAATTTTTACACGATGTAATTTTACTTTTTACTTAATGCATAATTGGTTTCGGGTACTTTTTACGAACTGCTGCGAATAATTTTCTTTAACGAAATTGGCTTAGATTTACTGTTTGCTATGTGATTGTAAGGGTTTCAAGAACTTAACAGTTGACACTTGCATATTGTATATAATGGATTTATTCGATGGTGAAAACGTGAAGTTGATAAAATCAAAACGAAAAGCGCGGAAGAGGAGTGCAGCAATTAAATTATATTCCTTTCTATTACGATTACGATCTTAGTTAATGGGTTGCATCGGTGAGCGCACTTTGCGATCCAGCGCACAAAGCGGCGAGACCTCCACAACGTCGTCAGCTTATAACTTAGGGTTCTTGGGGGATGTTTGGGGTTGGGTTGGTCCAAGAGCAGGGAGGGACCGAGGCTAGAAATCAAGGTTTTTGTCGTATCTAACTAAAACTGAATCTTGATGCGAGCAGATCGCCACGTCAGTTGGGAGCGGGATGCGAAGTGGAGGCCTGCTTGTCCACCGGTGGCGGGGGATTGGCTGCTTTTCTGGTCGCTCCAAGAGCTGCAGTCAGTCGATGACATCCGCTATTGCTGCAGCTTCGTCCCCTGTAGCCGCCGGGAATCATCAGGGCGCCGCCTCCAGTTCCACTTACTCCACCTACTCCGCCACCGACACTTCCGCTCCCAGTCCCACTCCCGCTTCCTCCCCCGCTGGCAGCCGGCGTGCGCGTGGCCGCCGGCGCCGTCGTCGTCGTCATCAGGGTGGTGTTGGTGGTGGTGCTGTTGCTGGTGGTGGGTCTGCCGCGTCGATTCTATTGCTACCGGCGATTGATAAGCCCGTTGGGAGGCGCCTGTTGGCTAGCCGTGTGCATCAGCTCCAGTTCCACGAGCAGAGGGAAGTGATCGGAGGGTATGTGCGGATGAGGGCAGCCCACCACCTTGTTCTCGCGCAGCCAGTCGTTGGAGACGGGACCCAAAAGGCCCAGCGGCACCATGCCCGTCTTCGTGTAGAAGATATAGTCGATGATGCCCTTGAAGTCGAACGTATAGTTGGTGTGCGGCATAATGTCCTCGCTGTAGGCGGAGGCCAGCTTGAACGAGTGCGTGAACTCGTTGGTGTCGTTCGAGAGCAACCGCTGCAGACAGGACTTGTAGCCCATGTCCTTGAAGTCCAGATGGTCCATTGAGACGCGCCCCTTGCCCAGGAACTCCACCACGCCCGAGTCGGGCAGCGAGTTGAAGTCGCCGCACAACAACAGCTGGACGGCATTCGAGTCGTTCTTGTGACCCGGCCTGAAGCTGTGGCTCGCCTCGTCAATGATCGTCTTTAGCTCATTGCTCAGCATCATCGTCTGGATGAGCTTGACGTCACAGAACTCCGGGTCCCAGTGAATGTGCGCCGTGCAGACGAGCAGCGGCTGCGAGATCTGCGTCACCTCGGACATCGGCTCCCAGGCGTTCTCCTTCACCTTGAGCAGGGCGGCCAGGCCAATGTTGTCCTTGGGCATCACGCGGTTCAGCATGTTGTCGGAGCCCTCGGCATTAGCCATCGCCAGCTGGTTGAACTCGATCAGGGATTCCTTGATCAGCGTAAACCTTTGGAAGACATTAGATTGGTATCTTATAAAATGGATCTTAGCTTTGTACTCACTTGGACGCCCTGAAGAATATCGCACAGCCATCCACATACTTCCGCTCCAGCTCGGACATGGTCTTAGCTCGCGACTTGGGCGAAAAGATGCCCTCGTAGCCGTCGTTCTTGAGCTCTGGCAGGAAGAAGTGGTAAAACTGTTCCGTCTCAATCTCCTGCAGACTGATGATATCCGCCGCGTAGTGCCGGATCTCGTCGATTATCGACTTTTTCCGGTACTCCCAGCAGAGCGCCCACGACGGACAGTATCCGTACATTTGCCTCGTCGCGTACTTATCGCAGAGAACATTATAGCACATAACCGTAAAAATGCCTGAAAATAAAATGAATCAATAAACAGAACATTCGGGAAATGTAAACTATTTAGTAAAGTTGCCAGTGCCTATTTACTGAACTGCAAAAAACTAGGCAGATATTAACAATGTGTACAGTATACAAATAAGGTTATTTAAAAGTTCTATAAATGGCTAAAGTATTAGATTTAGTTGCAAAATCGGATAAGGAGAGGAATTGAATGGTAGGTATAGCTTCTTTGTAGTGCTGCTGTAGAAAGCCAAGCGAGCTTAGCGTTAAGTTAATGCAATCTTTTTAAAAATACATTTATCTTTTAAGTACATATTCCTGCTTAACGACTTATTGAAGAATTTGAAGCAAAACCAGGTTATTTAGCTATCTAGGGCAACTGCCAATAGCTTGGTAATAGAAAATTCTTGTTGGCCGACTAACAACTATTAAGCTTTAATTACAACTTACAGGCTGGTCGCGTTTTGTTGGGCTTGGCCAGTGGCAGCCAGGGCCTTTGGGGCGGTGGATTGACGGTAACTGAAAATAAAAAGACACACGGATGTACGGTTAGTTGGGCGAGTGAAAATGCAAAGTTGCAAGAGATTATGAAATTAACACCCGCACATTAAGTCCCCAGCACACGAGCACTCCGTATCTGCGCTACCCCACTGACACACTGCTGCGGTTCCATCCACGTTCTCCCATAACCACTTTTCCTCCAACTCCCCTGCCCTCTGGGTGCAGAGATTGCAAGCGGTGAAAGTGACATGCACAAGCAACCAAATTGCTTCCGCCTTTGGGTTGCCCCACCGCAAAAGCGGCACCACCAGTCAAGTCAGGTGGTGCTTCGGTTTCTGCACAAACCACTGAGGTAGTGCAGTGTAGTGATGGGTGCCCAGATAGTAGTACTGGTTGAAGTATCTAGGTACATACGCAAAAACGTATTTAAATCACCTCTTTTGCTACCATATAATTATAAATAATAGTAAACTTTGGAAATCAGTTTCATTAGACGCTCTAACGTTCAATAAAGATCAGTTCGGTTAACACTTGCACAATTTAGCTTTTCAAGGTACATACCAAAGGTACATCAAGGTACATACCCAACTGCAAATTGGGATTCAACAATATTTTTAAATGTAACGATTAAATAAAATAAAATAACCTGCTATTAAGTGGTACTAAAGGAATTGCATTCCGTTTGTTATATAACTTTCTACTAGGATAAATAATCAACTGGACATCAAAATTAGTACCCCTCCCATCACTGATGCTGCGGGAACCACTTACTGCGTGACGGGGGAGCACTGGGAGACCGCTTACTGGTACATGGGTTTCTCCAGCTGACGGGAATGGGTGGTGGTGGGGCAAAAGCGACCTGCGACATCTGGTGCGGATAGCCGTAAAACGTGCGAAATGGCTGCGGATAGTGCGCTTGGTGTGGGTGGGACGGTTGGTGCGGGTGGAACATCTTGCGAGCCACACCCGCGCCGCCGTTCCTCGAATTGGTAGCCGTGACTGGGCCGTTGCTTACAACATCTTGCCGCATCGATGGGAGCCACGGCTTGGAATCGAACTTGGTACCGCTCTGCGGCGATTCTATGGCAATGGGATTGTGGAACCTAATCGCTCCGCTGGTCAGCGGTTCGCTCGCTCTCCTCTCTCTCTTGCTCTCTCGCTCTCACAACGAAGCGGTAGCGGGGCTTTTGGCGATTTGTTTTGCTTTGTTTCGCAGACTTGTTGATTGTTTTTGCATTTCTTTTTTCCCTCCGGTAATTTTGTGCAAACGGCGACGTTGACTAAAAACTTTCACTTTTTAATAAATTTGGTGATTTTTTTTTTCATAATTTTGTTGCTGTCTGCGCCTTGTTTTGTTTTCGGTTGTGCTTATCTTTTTTTTTTTGTATTTTTGCTGACAGCCTTTAATGACTACATTAACACAGCTTTGATTGCATTTTAATTGTACAATTCGTTTTTAGGATCCAGCACTCTCGTTGCTCTTTAATTATGCAAATGGTTATTTAATTGAAACGGCGCAACAAAAATTACAGAAGACGCAATGAGTCACCGAAACGAGAAAGGGATAAAAAAATAAAGGCAACGTAACGTGTGTGAATGATCGTTGTGTTTGAAGCGTAAGCACTAACTAAAATGGTTGAATTACAAAATGCCAAACAAAAGGGTTCGACAGCAAACTCTGTGCCAACTGTTGTGAGAAAATAGCACCCTCCAGTGGGGTTCCTCACCATCATCATCAACAACATCATCCTCGGTGGACTGAAGGTGTTCGGTTCGGGGGCTAGAGTTACGAAACTTTTACCCACAGCGTATACCCACGCACCCACTCGAAACTCCCATCCGCTGAGTGGGACGCATGGTAAATAATTTCACCGAATTTGTGAGTGATTACCCCATGGACAGGTGTAACAAAAGGCACACACATCGGAAACACTTTGGAAAACAAAGCGATCAACGAAATTTTAAAACAAATTTGTTCAGCCAGCGAAGCGTGCCATATTTTTTGGGGGGCTCTGGGGAAGATGGTTTGGAGTTCGTGGATTTGGCGGTGGACTTTTAAAGTGTAAGTGGAAAGTTGGACTACTTAAATTATTGCTATAATATTTGAGCTACATTATCCTTACGCTGTTTCAATCATCAGACTAAACAAGGATATATTACTTTTGCTTAGGCTATATTTACTTATTTAATTTAATTTGTAGAATTGTAAAATTACAACCGAAAAGTTTTTTTCATTGATTATTTAATTTGTATTCATACAAATTGCAATCCCCTATGGTAAAGATAAACTTTTCGGAGTAGACAAAAACATAAAATTCTCATTACCAAAATAAAAGTGAAAACGAGAACAGGTTTCGATACTTCAGTGGTAATTGGGAGATGTTTTGTTGGTGGCCCACTTTTTTCATGATCTTTGGTGGATTTACTGCTGTTAAATAGTTCGAATACTTTTTGTATTTAAAGTAAGTTCATGAAAAAATACTACGATGATCTTTTGAGTTCTTGGGGGGAATATTATGCCTTGAGAATTTGAATTTTAACTTAATAGAGTTCGAATGAATCGCTTCTATTACTCGACTATAGTTCTATGATTTCAAAATCCTTTCTCTATTTCACAAGCTCCATCACTCATAAATTTCCACCGCCACACAATCAAGATAATTTACTACTTAATGGATGCATATCAATTATGTTTACTCTCTCTTGACACGGTAAACTCAAAGTTGGCATTCGATGGTTCAATATTCGCCTCGCAGCCTGATGTCACGCCATGTCGTGTCGGCCTATATAATATATAAATGCCTCCCCGTAGCTCCTCTCACCCCCTTTCCGGCGTACCTCCTCGGGCGCCACTAGAAAGCCCTTTCTATCCAAAGTTTTCATGGTCGCTGCTTGCTGCATTTGAAAACAAAAAGAAACGAAATAAAATACAATAGCAAACTTCAAAAAAAACTCTCAGAGGCAAAGACAACAAACAAAAGTTCGAAAGGCAAAAACCCAAGTGAGCGTATCGAAAAAGAAAGTGAAATTCAAATTGAAATTTGGTGCGATTAAAAACGCCAAGGGGCCAATGCAGAGCCTGTTTTGTGTGAGTGTGTATTGGCCAACAATTTCGTATGCACAACACGTTGCTAGATGGAGGCGGCTTTGGAGGGCAACGGGGTGGTACAGCGGAGCGGAGGCCTGCTCCGAATAGAAAACAAAAGTCAACTCGCCACTTGCCACACTTCTTCGAGCACTGCAATTAGATAACTTGTTTCATTTGCACCAGTTTTTCCTCGCTCGATGCGATCGGAGCAGCAATTGACTGCCAATGTTCAATGGCGTTCAGCAATCGCAAGTTGCAAGTTGCAGGTTGCTGCTTGCCAGTTTTGTGACTGGTATTGGTTGTCAGTCCACTTTAACCGCCGTCGATGCGATGCTTCCACTTAAGACAATCTGGCATTAAAATCATAATAATGAAACACAATTTAAGGTGCACTTCAGGCTCTCCATACATAGAGTGTATTAAAAACACAGATGTGGCCAGAATAATAGCACACAAATTGGTACGCTCACAAAATAAGATGCAACGATGTAGTACATAGTAAGCCTGAATGGCAAGAGTCTCAAACATTCAGTGATTATCAGTATTATTGGATGATTTTATAGAGAGATCCCAAATGTTGACTCCAAGTCTTCTATAAAAACTATGTTATAAATTCCATGGGAAAGTCCCCTTTGAATCGCTATTCTTTTGGCCACAACTGTGCGTCTCCTTGTTTATGTGCGTGTGGGAAACCAGTTGGACAGCATTTGCCGCTGCATTGCTTGCCGGGTTCCATAGATCGCGCCTGATCGTGAGCGCCATATTCAAAAGACTCCAATTGTGCTGCGTCACATGGAAAATCAATTGGAAATGTGCGCGCACAGTGATTATGCACAGGCAAGCGGATGACGAGTGGCAACAGCCGATGCAGAGGTAGCTCCAACATCGGCGGAGCACCCCATCTCCACCAGCAGCACCACCGGCAACTCCATCAGCAGTTGGAGTCACAGACTGGCGTGGGCTTTCTTTCCATCGAGCAACCATTCACACAATGAAAAAAACTTAAATATTCAATTCCATTTCTTATAACTTTTGGCAAACATATTGGTATTGGTATTTTTATTTGTTTAAAATTACACGAGTTTTATTCATTTTGTGGGCAAAAGTAAATGGACTTATATTGGTTTTTCAATTTTGATTTTTTGATTTTGGTTTAATTTGTATTTTTATTTTCGACTTTCATAAAAACAAAAACCTCAAATAAGGATTATTTTTAATACCTGCTTTTAACTTTAAATTAAACTGTACTATATTAAAGTCATTACAGATACTCATTCACTCGTACGGATTTATTAGTTTGTACTCAAAAACATGACTGTTTCTTTAAAAAATAAACGGTTTAAAATCTGATGATGAAGTATAGAAATACTTTCACTTCTTAATGGAAACAATTTTTTCAATAGGTCAAAAAGTTTTTTAGTTTCATACAAATTTTAACTTCATGATTTCGATGTTTCTGAAATTGGCATAAAAATGTATAGAAAAGTCACACTTTTTAAAAGAATTGCATTTATTTTTGAATTGCATTACTTTCGCTGTGATAAAGAATAACATTTTTTTCGAGTGCAGTCAGGCAGTGGCAGCATCTTCGTAGGAGGCAGGGGCTGCCTCACGCGATCGGCCAACAATGCCGCACGCTGCTTGGTTACGTTTATTTTTCTTTCGCTGATCCACTTTTAAATCTTTGCGCGCACTCACAGTCGTTGAAGTTGGGTACTTTCTCTCTCCCGCAGTTGGAAAGCGGCGACGAGACAACTGCCTACTGCCTTCTGCCTGCCGCCTGCTGACATTGACACAGCCTGTAATGGGCCATCCAATCCAGCCAACAAGCACCCGACCATCCAGCAGCCCAGCCCCAAAAAAAAACCACCTGGGGGCAGGTGCAACACTCACAAATGGGAAATAAACTCTAAACATAAACATAGTACACAAAACTCCGAACTATAATTATAAAACTTACAGTAAATTAAAACGTGTAAACTCTAAAATCTGCTCCAAATGTATGATACAAATTTATAGCCTCAATAACAATAAACTCAAATCAAATATATTTATTAAGCACTTGTGCTTTACATGTTTAGTACTATGAAATTAAACCATTCATAAAACCATTTTTTTTTAATTTAAAAAAATCTTTAAGATGACTTTTATTTTTGGATGTAGTTTTAATCAATTGGACATGATTTAAAATTAAATAAATTAGTAAATTTAATCCATTTTACGCAAATGGTTAATAGTAACAAATACAGGAATGTGCTAATTCTTTGTAAATTTCGTTTTTATCAAATCGACATTTTTGGTTTAAGCTGCCATATATTTCTTAAAAGGCGAAACTTTAGCATTCGAATAACTCATAAATTAACCACTTTCAAACTTTTTACCTTACGCTCAAAGATATACTAGGTCAGACCAGTCTTGTTAAACTAATATATTGGATAAGTAAGTTTCTTTTAAAGACATGAAGTGCTAAAATTCGTGAGGGGTTTCATTAAGAATGGCTTCTTAAATACTAACAAGAGAGAACGCTATAGTCGGGTGCCCCGACTATCACATACCCGTTACTCAGGTAAAGGGAGTGCGAGGGAGATGGAGATAGAAACTTTGATCACGCATAACTTTTTAACGAATGGTCCGATTTGAAAAATTTCTTCTACATTTCGATAGGTATTGATAAACACAATAAAACTGCATTTTTACTTTTCCGAAATATTTAAATTTTTAAAATCGTATATAAGCGATTGTGGGCGTTAAAGGGGCGTGGCACCTTTTTGAAACAAACTTGCGCTGCGTAGGAACTCCTAGAATCTGCATGCAAAATGCCAATCTTCTAGCTTTTATAGTTTCCGAGATCTCAGCGTTCATACGGACAGACAGACAGACAGACAGACAGACGGACAGACAGACGGACAGACGGACAGACGGACAGACGGACAGACGGACATGGCTATATCGACTCGGCTAGTGACCCTGATCAGAATATATATACTTTATAGGGTCGGAAACGCTTCCTTCTAGCTGTTACATACTTTTGCACGAATACAATATACCCTTTTACTCTACGAGTAACGGGTATAAAAATGACTATAGAGAAATCGCCGTAAACATGCATGGTTTTTGCTGGCTCGACAGCTCATTGACAGGTCTTAAGCAGGAAATACTTGATTTTTTTTTCCCAGTGCAGTTCGGCCCATTCCCTGGCCATAAAACTTTCTAACCATTTGCACTTCCTTTTACGCAACAACAACCTTGATAAGCCCAAAAAGTCAGGCTAAGATATGAAACAACCGGCAAGCGAAAATGAAACGAAAACGAAACGAAAACAGGCTGTAAGCTCACTTCCGCATTTAAAACAATAATAAAGGCGAGACGACCAGACGAAAACATTTCCGATTTCTGTTGCATATTTATAAGAAATATGGGCCAATTATGCGAATTACTCCACAAAAAAAAAACAAAAAGAAAAAAAAACGAATCAGCCCAACAAGCAATGAAAATAAAAACGGAAAAAGCTTTGCCATGACAAAGCACAAAATAATATAAAAAGCAACCAAAAAAGTGAACATTTCGTAACCGAAATAACGGTTAACATTCACAAAGGCGGACAAAGAGGCGGGGCTTGGCGGAGGGGGCGCGGTCCGGCACCGGCCCCAAATCATCAGTTGCTTTGTTATTGCCCTCGCCACACTATTATAATTTTTGGCACTAATATCATCATCGCCAAGCGGCTGCTTCTTCACTCCCAATTGCAGTTATAAATACCGGTTTCGCTATATAAATAAACCATTTCAGTTGTTTGGCGTCGTTTTGTCATACTTAACGATACTTAAATGGAGCGAAAGTCGGGGTATATTGGCCGAAAAGGTTAACAATATTTAGATCACCAAGAAAACGGGCAAAAAGTAATATTCGGGAAACGAAGACAGTATTTAAAGGTAATAAATAAATACCAATATATTTTTTTACAGATAAGAAAGGGTTTCGTTACTTAAAGGCCTTTTTTTTGGAAATCATTGGCAGTATTTAGAAGGTTACAGATATTTAAGCTATATTAAAATGTTTTTATTTCAAACGTTATTTAACCAAATATATCATACATATTTAAAATGTTTTTTCAACTAAAAATAATATTAACATTATTTGGTGCTTCCAAGGGTATTACAGGGTAACTAAAAAGTCGAAGACCGTATATTTTCGCTCCACTTCCTCTTCCCACATTACAATTCGGCATGCTCCACTAAATCGGCAAACGCGTTGTGGGAATCGATGACTCCACGATGCGTTTAAAATGCATTACAAAGCACAAAGTTGTCATAAAAATTAAATTAAATAAAAGCCGAAAACAAGAAAACGTATAATAAAGCGACGAGAGGAGAAAAAGATCAACTGACTTAAGCCAATTAAACGATTAGGTAACAGTTACAACAATAATGGCAGTCACAGCAGCAGCATCGTATGCAGCACACACAAAAACGTCGTCATCGGCCAGAAAAGCAGCAATAACAATAAAGCTTAGACGAGTCGAGTTATAAACCTACATAGAGCGGCAAAATTTGTACAGCCAACGGTGGGCCACTGCGAGTGGCAAACGGAAAAAAGCCAGAAACAGAAAAAATTAATTCATGTTGTGCCCATTTCGTGAGCGGACACAAAAAAAAGATGAAGAATAAGTTACAACAAGAAGTTAAAGAAGGCTTTTAAGTCCGAACATCGTTATACACTAGCAGATGGTTGGAAAACAAAAGACCCTTCCGATTTCAACCGAAATACAATAGATTAAAACTTTAAATTATTTAAATAAGTTTGCTTCTAATCGCTATTTGGTTTTTTTTTTTTTTATTGATTGAAACAATGTGCCTATGATGAAAAATAAGAAGAATATATAATAAAAGAAAACTAGCATAGAATACAAATTTGCAACATGATGTTAAGTAATAATGGCGTTTATTAAATGGAACTATCGGAGTTGTAATAAGTTTTAGAAAAAATATTTAATAGGTGTTTTTAATTAAAGAAGATACAAATTTTCATGATTCAAAATTTTCTAAACTCTACAATGTACTTTTATAGGGCATTATAGGTTACAAATACGGCAGCAGTAAAGCACAAGCCGCTCACAAATGGCAGAAAGACTTAAAAGTTAACAGCGGCCCTTCGGCTGCCCTCCGTCGACTTGATTTATGGGGTTCGAGCCTCGGTGGTGCATCTTCTTTCTTTCCGCTGAAGTTTACGTCACAGGCGACACTAGACCCCATCCCCTGGCAAATGATTTCATCATTTGAAGCTGCAGCTACGCATTGCGAGATCTTGGCTATATAAATGTTAATGTAAATACCCGGCATAATGACAATGAGATGGATGAATGGTCAGATGCCAATCGCTTACTCTTTGTTCTAATGACCATTTTCTGCTTCTGGGCTCACAGTCTTAACTTGTGACCTAATCAAGCATGATAATCTTCTATAGGAATTGGAAAAAAGCAACCCAATTAACTTTTGTTAGGTAATATTGACATACTTTCCGTTCTGTAACTCTGCAACTTTCTTACAATCTATACTTTACTTTACAAAGTTTTTTTGTACTTATAGCGTTACCTAGTAAGAAAACCATCATGTAAGAACCATTTTCACGGAGCATTTCATTGTCTACGAGCCATTTTAAACTGTGGGTAAGTTCATCTTACAATAGTTTTTTATCTAATTATAATGTATTTAACATTCATTTTGCATGCCAATTTGTATTTTATTAGATTTTCCCATGCTAATATACCTAATATCTGTATTACTTGGGGACCCCTAGGTTCGACCGAAATCGGAAAGGGGAACATGACTTTTAATGAATTCTTCTGTATCTGCTATCTTCACAGACAATCAAATTTACACATTGCTCAACATGAATACAAATTTTACACCACCAAATTATTCAAAAAGTGGAGCCCTTCATCTTTCTTCGAGTGGCTCATGAATAGTGTGGTATAGTTTGGCTAATGTGCCAGACAAGTAGCAACCAGCAATTGTCTGTGAAAATCCAAAGCCAAGTCAACACGAGAATTGCTGAAAAGAAAATCAACAGCAGTGCCAACAAAAAGCAAGACAACCACTTTAAGACGACCCAGCGAACGAGCAGACGGCATTAAAAGTGGAGAATAAATGTAATAATGACATTTGTGGCCGTTAGGATTGGGATTCTTAACTGTTTGACATTTTGCGTAACCTTTTTCGTAGTCATTTGGCCTTTATTCGGATTAACCGCTTTTTTTTTGTGGCTCTTTGCAGAGGAAGTCGAGATAGGAACTTGGGCAACGCCAGACAATGATGATGAACTACTGGTGTGGTGTGTGTGGCCCACTGAACTGGCCAAGTTAATTGGAAAATAAAACTTTCAATTTCATGGCGAAATGCTAATTTCTAGCCAAAGAAAAGTCAACTGGAAAAGCGGCAAGTCCAATTGGCGTTTCCTTTGCCGGGGGTGAAGCAAAAGAAACACAGCAAAACTAACTGAAAAATCACGGAAATAGCAAAAAGAAGCAGAAACATGGAAGAAAAATCTTTCATTACAAAGTAATACCCTAACTTTAGTAATATTGTTCTTTATTCACATGTTAAAATATTTTATTTTCACACTTATTAGCAAAACTGTCTGACTAAAAACACATTTAAATAAATGTTTTTAGAAATTCTAATCCTTTATGAAACAATCTTATATGAAGATTGTTCTTGAACCCGATTTTTCTCTTGCAATATAACTTTAAACTCTTCGGTTTCAAAAAGGTTAACATCTCAAAACCTCGGCAAATAGAACGACAAATTTAAAGTATCCGCAGCAAGTGAAGGTGAGGAAAAACAATTAAATTTCAGAGGCTAGAAGGAAAAGAGAAAAACTAGCATGTTGGAAGACGCTAAGAAAGATGGCCCCGCTTTGTTGGCCAGCGGCTATATCATCTATGGCCAAGAACAACAACAGCAAAGCGACGCGACGCGACGCGACGCATTTATTGACGTAGCCAAAACACATTAGCCACCGCTGCTGGCCGGTGGTGCGGTGCTTCGTAGCTTCGGTGGTGCTAGATGGTGGCTGATGGCGCAAACAGTGTTGCAAATGACCCAATTATCCACTGACCCACTCAACGCTCGACCGTTGTCCGGGTCCGGAGTGTGGAGCATGGAGCATGGAGCACGGACCTCCAGAGCTTTGCCGGCTGTTGCGAAAGAAGAGCTACCAGAAATCAGAGCCCTAATAGACGATGGGTAGTCGGGCGTCTTTAGAAGCTGACTTAACAAGCAGTTAGAACTCCAAATGAGGCCCTAAAATGGAGACATTAATTAGCCTAATGACGGGCACAAAATGCCCAGAAATTAATTTGCCGGTTACGGTTATGACAGCGGTTAATCTTTTTTGCGAAAGCCGGCACACCACAAGCAGATTCATCCAGGTGAAAGGTTCCCACTCTGCTTTCGGTAATTGAAATCTGTGCAGCGGCTCTAAGAGCTTCAGCTAATGTTTGGAAAGTTCATTTTCGAGTGGTGCATCAGGGATTTCTTAGTGTAGGCCCAGAAAACGCAGACTTCTGTTTGTTTTTCCGGCTCCAAAGTCGGCTCAAACGTGCCTCATTAGATGATGGAGTTTGCTTTTTTTTTTTTTTTTTTTTTTTTCGTTATTTCAACACCTATTTTTGGGGCTATCAAAACAGCAATCAAGTTCTTTTTGTTTGACATTTTTGTTTACACTTTTTATTGAGTTCTCGTTCGGGCTTAATCAAAATAAATATTGTGTTCTTTTGTGTGGGTTACAAATGTAGTGTAGTGTGGTATTGATGGGTTAACTATAGGATTGTTATTTGTGCAAAAACGATGCTTACGAACAAACAAACACTACAATAATACGAGGGAGCACAATACGAACTAGTGAAAATATTAATTAAATAAATTAGCTTCGAGTGGTAATTTCTATCTGGGGAATGGTAACACAAACTGTCTGCCGGAACCTGCCAATGGAAAATCTGTGACATTTTCCAACGGCGCGATGCTGAGACCGACGGCGACTCTCAGCCAACACGATTCGAGCCAAGTTAATTCAAGCCAAGTCGGGCCGGAGTCGAGCAGAGCGGAAAACTTCAAGCAATTTCTGAGGCGCGCTGCGCGTTCGTGAGTTTCTTTTAATTAAAAAAAGGCGAAAACTTTTACTCGCCAACTACAACAGCTAAGCAGGTAACTAGGGCTGCTCTCGATTTTCAGATTTAGATTTTATGCTTGGTGATCTCAGTCGGAATTAATTGTGCACCAGAAATTCTTTCGGCTGTTTTATGTGCCTCAACTTGCAGAGAAGTCGGAAATGTGAATCTTAATTTGAACATATAACATGATATGATACCGATCGCCCATGAATAATTGCCTCAAAGAATTAAACTCTCGCTTTAAATTTATGAATATTCAATCGAATGAGTTCACAATTCAGGGGTACACAATGCTTTTCAAAACTGTAAGGCAATTGTTTGTTACATTTGTTCAAACGAAAATGATTCTTGTGCTTATTAATCACTAAGGATTTTCAGAAAATTTTAATTGGAGTTTTTAAAAACTGCATAAATCGAATACTACTTTTTTTTTTAATTTTTAAAATTGAATAAAAACTATATTTTTTTTGTATGCCTTCGATGCTTAGCTCAAATACCTTATCTTTTTGAAACGCATTGTGCATAGATTTGAAAATAGCATTGCGAAATCATTTAAGACTTTAATGAAACCTTTAGAGATCCTTTCTATTCCCCCAATCTAAGGATAACTTAGGCCTTAGCCAAACTTATCAACTATAAAAGTTCACGTTGTAGCGCATCGATTACGGACTATATAAAAACCAAACCAACTAATCAAATAACATTAAATAGAACCCAAAAACGATAGAGATACACAACTAATATGTAGGAACGTTGCTTAAGCTCAAAGATAAAAGTTAACACACGGCCCTCCCTAAAAAAAAAATTCCAGATCTCGGGGAGTAAGATTGGACTGATTTTTGACCCTATGGGGTAACGTTAATGCACAAATAACAACAACAATTAAATGTATGTAAAAAGTAGATATAGATATGGGTATGATTAAAGTATCTTTAGGGTTCACATCGTATCTCTATACGATTTCTACAGTTTCTTCTTCTTTTTGCGCCACAAAATCTGCATAAGAGTCGCACCCTTCCCGTAACCCCCACCCGCAGCTCCGTCATCTGTGGATCTGTGGTCTTGGCAAAAAGAAAAAGAAAAGAAAAATGTCTTAAAAAATAAAGATATACAAAACGCCGTCGCCGTCGCCGCCGCAGTGAAAGTGAAAGTTGAAGTGGAAGTCGGATTCGGATTTGGATTCGTAGTCAGAGTGTGTATGTGGTATGTACAAGGTTTCCAGTCCCGGCCTGTCTTCATAAGTTTCCATTTAGCCGGGGATCGTATCCAACTGCCTGCCAGGGCCCATTTGGTCAACTCGTTGGCCTTTTGTTTTTCGCTCTGATCGCGATGTCGATGATGATGGTGATGATGATGTGATGATCGTCTCACATGTGCGTTATATCCATTTAATGGGTTTTCTTCTTTCTTCGCTGTGATCGTTGGAGTTGCGCAACTTGGGTTGGGTAGAAATTTAAAAATGCTTTCAGGAGATTTACATTTCCCAATCCCAAACCGCCCACGCATCGTTATCTCGTCTCACGTTTCTCCAAATCGTCGCAAAATGAGCCACTTTCTGGGCTGCGATATCTCGTCGTTTCTCATTTTTCTTGCCTATGGATTTTTGATTAGTTTTCCACTGGCGTCGTCGTCACGAGATGGTGGAAAACGCTGGCTTCAGCTTACCCACCGTGCCCAGTATCAGCCTGGTGGGTGTGGCCCGGCTGTCTGGGCCCAGTTTGGCAGCTGCCACTTGGCTGTCATCGTGGCTGCCACCTCCACTTGGCTGCCTTCCCCCGCGCCACATTAAGCCCAAACTGTTGCCGTTGCCGTTGCTGCTATTGTTGTTGTTGCAGTCCACAAGAAAATCCAAGGCTGTGGGCGTCACATCCGTCAGATTCAAATGCTCAAAGTTAAAGACGAGGCCCGATTCGCAGTTGTGGCTGCCAGCGCTATCCAATCCGCTGTCACTGGCTGCTCCCGATCCCGATCCGGCCTGATCGGCCGCATTGCATGTCTCGATCAGCTTGCGCGATATCTCATTGAGGCTCTCATCCAGCAGCGTCTCCGCCTGGGCGGAAATCGACGGGGAGGCGTGGCCCAGTTTACCGCCTCTGAAGCAATTGCCAAACAGATCGTTGGCTATGTTAATACCACTCAGGATGTCGCCGTAGCCGGAGTCATCGCTCATGCACTGAGAGGGCGTGGTCACAGCACTCGGATGACTGCGCTGGGATCCGATAACACCCACAATTTCCGCCCGACTGCTGTCGCCGGTGATGGGAGCAAACTCCTCTGTGGTCTCCTCCCGCAAAGCCGATGAGCTGGGCAGGCTCTGGCTGCAAATGGAGCTATCGCAGGAGCTGTCCGAGTGCGTGGATGAGGTGGAGGAAGAGGACTCCCTACTGCCGCCTCCTTGTTCGCTGGATGAGGCATCGGAAAGCGATCGCCGGAGTGGATAATCCCACAGGGAACGCAGTGGGTCACACTCTCGACAAAAGCACACTCCGTGCGTGTGATCATGCTGCAGTATTCCAGGTGGCAGGTGGTAAGATCCGCCTCCTCCTCCCGAGGGATAACCTTCTCGTGGGCTGGTAATCTTGGGCTGCATATCGGATTCCATTTTAAGTAGCACGCCATTGCCCGGCTTGCGATCCTTTTTGCGCCGCTTTCTCGGTTTGATAATCCTGGGCAGACAAGTCTCTGCAGGAGAAGGGGCCTGATCCTGGCTGGAAGCATTATTTGCCGGCTTCTCCTGACTGCTGAGAACGGGTGGTGCAGAGTTCTGGTACCGAAGGGCTCGGGATTTGTCCGCCAACTTAAATCCTGCCTGACTGCTCATCGTCTGATAGGCACTCCAGTTGGTCGGAACAGGATGATGGTGATGATGTGGTTGATGGTGCTGCAGCTGCTGCTGTTGGAGATGTTGCTTGCCATTCTGCTGGAGCAGCGGCATGCCCTGGGCATGCACAGCCAGCTGGGACATGGTGGCCCCACCAGGTGGCCATGATGGACATGTTTTCGTAGTGGATTTCCTCAGCAATCTCTGGCGCTGGGCAGGCGACAAATGACTGGAAGCATTTGAGATGAGTGGTATGCCGGCGCACTCATTGATCCGCTGCTGGTTGACCACTCCATAGCCACCAGGTTGAGGTGGTGGGCCAGACGATTGCGCTGCCCAATTGGGTGGTGGCGCAGCCGGCGGGCCATGATGCAGTCGGTAGGCAGGAGCTGGAGCAGGCTGCTGCTGCTGTTGCTGTTGCTGGCTTCCCGGCCAATGGTTCAACTGATGCTGATGGTATCGCAGCGGAGCGTAGTTGGGTGGTGGTGCTGTTTCTGGCGCCCTGTAAACGGCCACATGCGATCTCATGCTGTTGTTGTCTTAATCCCAAACTAAATCCTGGCGGCGGGTCGAGTCGATTGCACATCACTTGGCCGCTTGCTTTGGTTTGTCGGCTTGGGCCACAACTCAATGAGGCATTTCGGTTGGCCAACACAACAGTCGAGCGATTCCACCGCAACGAAATGAAAAGCGAACGCCAAGAAACTGGGACACGGCGCGATCGCAATTACGAAACACACGGGGCATGCGCGACGGTCGCGAACGGGTTTCCAGCTGGGGAGACTGGAGAGCAGTGTGGAGCAAGTGCGTCCGCCTCGTAGCCAAGCGAGCGGCAGACTGAAGTCAGCTGCTAGCGCGATCGCTAGCGAGGGCCGGCTAACAGTAAAAGCCGCTAAGACCAGTCTCTCTTACGTTCCACTTGGCTTACACAAGCTCTCAGCCGGCTCTCTTTCGGGGCAACGTCCACCGGAGAGCGGCTGGCTTTCGGCTTTTGCATGTCGAGGTCGTGCAGTTCTTTCGGCCGACTCCGCCAATTGTAATTGTTGCATTCAATTATACATTTTTAATTGATGCCCGGGCATTATGTTTTTGGCATTAATGGGCAGCCGTGAGTTTGAACTTTAATTATGGCTGAGGCAACAGGTTTTATGGCCTATCCTGGTCTGTGAAAATGCTGGTTCACTATATGTAACACCTTAACTTCAACAGTACCATAGATTTAACATTTTATTTAATTTCTTTGTTTAGCTGCAAAATTCCTCAAAATCTAACAGCATTTTAACTTTAACAACGTTACTAAAAGGGTTTCAGTGAATTTTCCATTTTAATATAATGTTATTTTTTTCTAATAATTTAAAGATTTAAGAAGAAGTTCTTTCGTTGGGGAATTTATTTAAAAAAAGGAACCAAATATAAAGTTCTTCTTGGCTGACCGTGCCATGGGTTAAATCATTGACCATGTTGGTGAACGCAGATTAAAGATGATTTAAAAAAAAAATGATTTAGGTATGCATTCTATTTGTACCATCGATTTGAATTTTTTTTATTCATTGTTTCCAAGGGCAAACTTTAGAAAAGGCGTTTATAGGGAATTTTAGTCCCATCACATAGTTAAAATACCCTTAATTCCGCAGTTCAACCAAAAACTTTCTCTTTTCGGAAGCCTTTTTTCGCGTGCTTTCCTTTTTACCCCCACACAAGCACACACAGACGCACACCTGGACAGGAGCTGCTCACGCACCTGGCACACACACACACACACAAACATATAGGTAAACGGCGGACTCACATGACAAGTTGTCCAGCATGTAGGTGAGCAGTTTCTGCGTGCCATTCGGCTCGTTGTAGATGTTCATAAACTCCTTTTGCAGCGGATTGCCCATGAGGCCGAGTATGACGAGGTGGAACAGCTTGCCAATCTCGTAAGGCAGCACTCGCAGAAAGTTGTTGTTCAGCAGTAGTTCCCTAAAAAGGAGAGAAGGTGGAGTGGGTGAGTGAAATGTACGGAAGAGTGATAACTAGGGCTTACGTTTAGACAGCGGCTTCCAAAACTTTTTAAACTAAATACGTAAATCGTAAAGGTTTCTGCTTTGGTTATGTACAAAAATTATGTTAAAATCAAATCTTAAATTTATTTTAATTTAAAGGCCAAATAATTACAAGTTGAAGAAAATCAAAGCATCAATTTAATTTAATTAATCGCGTTTCAAAACGTGGTTTAAAGAAAAACGCGTATAAAGCTTCAGCAGTTAGATAGTTTGGCCGAACCCCGTATATCTCAAGAAGTCTTACGAATGGAAAGTTATACATTTTAATTACTAGGAGAAGTATTCCAGAAAAGGTTTACTACAAAACTGTAGGATAGTGAAATACAAGATATTCCGGAACCATAGGGTGGCATGTTTTTAGCTACTTTATGAACTTTCACTAGACGCTGCCCCTCAACAGGCACTTACCGCAGCTGGATGAGCTCGCCGAGCTCGGCGGGAAGACTCCTTAGTTTGTTGCTGGATAAGTCCAGGGTCCGCAGGCTGATCAGCATCCCGACGTCTGCGGGCAATCGCAGAAGTTGGTTGTCGTTCAGGTAAAGGGCGGTTAGGTGCTCGAACTCCCACAGCGACGGACTTATATTGCGGACGCAACCTGTACCAAATAAAAGGGATATATTATTCGAGCATTTATGGAAACACAAAGGACCACTTACCCGTAATCTCCAGACCACTCCAATTCGTCTTCTTGCCGGCGGCTATATCCTCCTGCGACAGAAAGATCTGCTGCCTCCGATTAGCACTGTCGTATTTGTCTTTGTTACGAGACATTTTATAGTGATTGCCTATTCAGGATATATTTAAGGGTGTAATATTAGTAACTATAGGTAACAGATTGGACAAGTAAAAATCTGGAATTGTTTTAAGGAAGTTAGGGCTCATGTTAGGAGACAAAACCTCGCTTAGCAACAAAAATGAATGTTTTAAGTTTTAGCTTAAATGTATTTAGGAAAATTGGAATTAAATCATAACCTTTCATAATAACCGCCTGATGATAAGCGTCTCTGCAAAATATTAATAAAGTGGTTTCAATTATTATTTTTTATTAGTTAACTAAGGGAGGGGTTTGAGGTTTGGGGGTTTTGGGTTTACATATCAGGGGTAAAGCTGCGATAAAAATAATAGCAGTGTTATAAAAAAAAACTCTAAAATATTAATTCGAGAAAAAGACAAAACATAAATATTTCAAAAAGAGTTTTACTAAGCTTAACACGAATCGGAAAGTAACATTACATTACAATTCCCATCATACGAATGAAAGAAAATTCTCTGCACATATGCATTTTACGTTGAAAATATGTAAAAATACGGCTTTTGGATGAACTGCTATTAATTTTTGCACAGTTGGAGATGGTAAATTATAAATCATAATTAAATGCAAATGAAAAGGACTTTTGCAAGCGCGCGCAAAGTGCAAGAACACGCACACATAAATACACAGGCACACACGAACACACTAAACAGTTAGAAAGCGAATGGCGTGGGCGGGCAAAACAAGAAGAAGAGCCGTGTGGCGAATGTCGCATTTTGGAAATCGGGGATACTTGGAATCTAGAACCTGGGTTTACCTGGATAAGTTCACTTTTCCTAGGAAGTCACCTCTCTCGGATCGGGATTCAAATTTACTTGCCGCCTCTTCTCGTTTCACGCGCTCTCTACGCTTTCCGCCCGCAAATTACTCAATAATTTTGTAGGAAATGTTAAGCCGCAATCTCAGGGTAAGTATTTAGTTTCTTCTCACTGTGAATTTTTTTTTGGAGTTTCTAACGTTTAAAGCTACCCTTTTTTTTTTTTTTTGCTGATTTCTGTGTCTGTTTGTCGAAACAGAAGCGACGATTCTGCTATTCCCCTACTCGTTTTGGGTCGCTCTTTCTCTGCTTGCGCCTCCGCTGTCCATTTATTTATCGCGGGACTCGTTTTCATCGTCGTTTCTTGTTTTTGTATACATGGTAGCCACTCGGGGTTGCCACTCGGTTTTATCAGCGGGCGATATCACGGAAAATTCGGGACAAAATGCGTGCTTTTTTGGCTAACTCAAGTCTGGCCTAGTTTCGAAATAAACTGCTATTTAACGTTTGTTTGTGCATAGAACTATGTACATAAATGGGATTTTAGTCAAAACAAAACAAGCGTACAAACACACGCACATATACACACACACACACAGACGGTCACAGAGGTGCAGGGTTGAAATAAAAACACGTAGAGATTTCGTACTGTTTGCTTTGTTAGCCACTATTTTTGGTCAACGCTCTTTGTGATGTTAACTCGACTTCGATCACAATGTATTTAATATATTTTCGGACTCTGGTTAGGCGGTTTAATTGTGGTTTTGGTCTGCTGCTGCTATGTGTAAACTCTCGTTCTTCGCTTTCCTCCGTTTTCCATTTCTCTTTTGTGCGCTTGTTCGGCGTACGCGGAAATGTCCACTCGCTGTCTATCGGCTAATTTCACAATCGGTGCTGCCTACTATCGTAAACGCAAAACACATTAAAAATCTACTAAATAATTTTAAGTTCAAAAATATACAGTTAAGCAAGCCTTCCATCTTTTTATGAGATTTAACCTTTGTTTCTTATAATTTTTTATTTGCATCCAATATTAAATTATTTATATATTTTTGATGAATAGTTAACGCAGAAAAACCTGTCATCTATAGCTGACATTCGTTCGATAACCAGACGGCGTTGCGATAGACAGTGGCATAGGCTTGAGCGCGAAAGGCACCAAAAGTAATTGTGCCTTAATATATATATATGTGAAAAATTTTTTTGTTCATAAAATGTCCGGAATGAGAATGTCAACGTTCCTCAGGAAATTCTTGAAAAACGAGGAGGAATTGGTACTGAACGGTTGCGATGATTCCGATGATAAGGAAATGCTTTTATGGATGTATAATAAAACGGTAAGTAAACTGAAATTTGTTTAGCCTGCCTTTTGTTTAACAATTGTGTTTCTAGAGAATAACCGAGGAGGATCTGGCCCGAACGTATAGTGAGGACGAAGTGAGGGAGCTGTGCCTGCGAACCAAAGTCCGGGTGAGAATGAACTCCATGAATTGTTTGTATGACGCCCAAAAGCGGTTTGCGAAAAAGAAACGCCTGGAAAATCGCTCCCAAGGCTTCGTCAACGCCATGCTTAAGAAGGCGGTGCGTCGCAGGATGGTAGAACCTTATTCGGATGAGTATGTGGCGAACCAAATTGAAGTTAGGAGAGCGGAGACCAAGAAGGAGAACAACAGGCGGCTAGATCGATGGCATCCCCACTCTTTGTTAATTAGCTCATCTTCGGAAGATGAAGAAGGTGAACAACTTTATGACTACGATGAACAGCTGGAGGAGGAATTGCAGCAAGAGGAGGAATCGCAGCAAGAGGAGGAATTGCAGCAAGAGGAGGAATCGCAGCAAGAGGAGGAATTGCAGCAAGAGGAGGAATCGCAGCAAGAGGAGGAATTGCAGCAAGAGGAGGAATTGCAGCAAGAGGAGGAATTGCAGCAAGAGGAGGAATTGCAGCAAGAGGACGAATTGCAGCAAGAGGAGGAATTGCAGCCAGAGGAGGAAAGGGAGCAGCAGCAAGAGCAGCAACAACAACTTGATGGCATTGGTACCGAGGAGGAGGATCAGCAGCAGGAGCAACAAAAACTACCTTTTAGAATTGTGAACCAGCAGCAAGAATCCCAAGTACAGGCTATCAACCAATGTCCAGAAACCCAGATGCCGGATAGCTGGATGGCAGTTGGCTGTGATGTCAACTCTGAAAGCATGTCAATAGGAGGATATGTTGGGAACACGCCAAACACGCAAAATACGGAGCCGGACTACGAAGTGTTTGACACCCAAGTACCGGCCGCTTCTACACAGGGTAACGAGTGTTAGCCACCCTTTCGTCTGAGATTGTAAAATCGAAGTTTGCTTTTATTGAGTTTTGTTATCTTTCTATGTGTCTATGTGAAGGGTGTGTAAAAAATGGGTTAAAAACATTGAGTCCCTAAAAAATTTATAAAATTAATAATAAAACCTTAACTACAATACGAGGCTTGATTTATACTATGTACACTAATCTAGGGTGATCCGCAACCGGAACTGTACACGGAGTTAAACATTTAAAATGCTCGCTTTTACATAGTAACGCTATGTACAATTTACAATTTAGTTAGAACTAATTTACATGGTCCCACGGGGCGTGGCAAGGGGGCGGTGGGTGCTACGGGAAATGGTCAAACAAGAACTGTTCCATGAACAGCGACTCCGAATGCTAGTTGGACGAGTTGTCACCCGGCTCGCTGACGGCAATGGTCATTTTTGCCTCATCTCCGCTGTCCAGTTCCAGTTCGTCGTCGTCCTCATCATCCTCGTTATCATCCAGTTCGTCCTCGTCCAACTCCTCTTCATCGTCGTCACCGTCTTCGGTCATCTCTTCATCCTCATCGTCGTCTTCATCTTCGCCGAAACTGTCGCCTCCGCCTGTGGCCTCCACAGTCGGCAGCTGAACGATCGTGGCCCCGCCAGGCGTCACAGTTGAGCCCGCAACCGTGGCCGCCACACTGGAGGCTCCACTGCCCGCCGCCGTCGCTCCGCCACCCGGAATCTCTATCGTCACAATGCCGCTCATGGTGCTGATGCTCTTGGCCGTATTGGGGCTCTTGTTCTCTTGTTTGATGTTTAGCTCGATAAGCTCCACGCCGGAGCGGCTCTTGAAGTGTGTCTTGATGTGTTTCGATAGATGATCGCTGCGCATAAACTTCTTGTTGCACTCGCGGCACTGGAACCTTTTTTCACCCGTATGCGTTCGCCGGTGACGCTGCAGCTCATCGGAACGCGTGAAGCGCTTGCCGCAGAATACCCAGGAGCAGACGAACGGCCGTTCGCCGGTGTGCCAACGCAGGTGAGCCCGCAGATGGGAGGTCTTCCCGTACACCTTCTGGCAGCCGGGGATGTGGCAGATGTGCTGGCGCTTCTTGTCGGAGTGCTTCTCGCCGTCAGTGCAGTTTGGACAGGTGCATGCAACTCGCTTTAAGCGGGGTTTTGGCTCTCCTGCGGCCGCTACACCGCCGCCTCCCGATGCACCACCTCCGGCACTCGCCACACTGATGCTTACATTCAGATTGCTCTGTGCTGGAGTAGTTATCGTCGTCGTGCCACTGTTTGTGCTCCTTATACTGGCTGCCGCTCCCCTAGCCTGCGTGGTCACAGAAACCACTTGGCCGCCGGTTGGAGCGATCGTTATTTGTGTGCTGGAGGTGCTAACCAAGTTAGATTTGCTTCTCGCCGGATGTGACACAGGAATTGATTGCGGTAGTGGAGCTGGGGTGTTCGGTGGATTTGCCGTTGGCTGTGGCAGTGCTGTGATCTGAATTGAGGCTGGTATGCTAAGGCTGGACAGGGAGCTTCCCTCCGTCTGCAGGAACTTGATCTGCTGCTGTTGCGGCGACGATGTGCTGGTCGTGGGAGCGGGTGCCGGCGGATTGCCGGTGGAGCTGATGGGTCCAAAGGTATCCGGCGGCTCCTGCTTGATGCTGGTGATTATCTGGGTGGGACTCTGCGGCTCCTGCTTGGGCATCACTTGCACCTGGCCCTGGCTCTGAACATGGGCCTGTGACATGGGCAGTTGGGTCAGCACCTGCTGAAAGTTGCCCGGCAGATTTGGGGGTAACTGGTTGGCATGGATGATTTGCACTTGGCCCAGCCCAGGTATGTTCTGGATGGGCAGCGCCTGCAGATTGGGCAACTGCATAGGCGTGGGCACTGCAGTTGGAGCGGGCGCAGGAGCGGGAGGCGCACTTTGGCGCAGCTGGGTGGGAATAACCGTCAGCTGTTGGCCCTGGGCATTGGTGATGGTGATGGGCTGGTTGGGCGGCAGTTGTCCCCCGGCCGAGGCCTCGCTGAAGGCCTGGAGTAGCTGCTGGTGCTGCGCCTGAACTTGTTGTTGCTGCTGTGCCTGTTGCTGCTGCGCCTGCTGTTGCTGTTGAGCCTGCTGTTGTTGCTGTTGCTGCTGATGAGGGTTCTGGATATGTATGATGTTTGCATTTGGTGGCAGCTGAGGATATGGCATGGCCAGTTGCACCTGCTGAATTTGCCCGTTGGGCGTCACAATCTGGGCAATCTGCGAAAACTGCGGGATGATTTGCATCTGCGAGGGGGCGGGCATCTGCAAGGATTGCGCCTGCATCAGGTTTTGTAGACCTCCGCCCGACGTTGCCGCTGCCTGGACAGGCACATGAACCGTCTGGTATATGGTCTGACCGCCGGCAGTCTGCACGGGTATTTGCACGGCCACAGTTTGCTGCTGCTGGGGCACGGCCTGCGCCGGAAACTGCACCAGTTGGGGGCGTAGTTGCAGCTGGCCATTCTCCAGTTTGATGGATTGACCGCCGCCCAAAAGGTTGGAGATGTTTCCCAGCAATCCGTTGGCCGCCGCCACAGAAGTGGGTATCTGTAGGTTTGTGCCCGGGATGGTGATGCTCCCTGGTAGCTGGCTGACTCCACCGCCCGCTGCTCCGCCAGAGCCGGTGCCTCCGGAAGCATTCGACCCCTGTGCTTGCTGCTGAACTGTGCCCTGGTGCACTTGCTGCACCTGCTGCTGCTGCTGGATGAGATTGGCGACGGGTATTTGAATGTTCGTTCCGGGTATGCTGATCAACTGTGTTTGCTCCTGGGCCATGCCATTGAGCTGCTGCAGCTGGATGCAGTTGGAGGGTGGTGGATTAGGCGCCACCTGGGGAGCCCTCAGGATCTGACCGCTGGGCGTGATGAAGGCCTGCTGCCCATTGATGTTCACCGCCTGCGCGGTAGCGAGTTGGGCATTCAGGTTGGGTATGAAGATGGCCTCCTGGCCATCGATGTTCACCGTTTGCATGGGCATGGGCTGGACGATCTGGAACATGTTCTGCGACATTCCAGCGGCCTGGCCGCCACCAGGTACCGCTCCGCCAGCGAACTGGGGTGGCATTTGGTGGATGTTGATGATCTGCTGCATGGTGGGTGCCCCGGAAGCTCCCGGTGCCTGGGGTTGTGCGACTGTGGCACTTGACCCGCTTGGAGGCGCCACTTTTGCGGACCCGCCGGCCACCGAGGGCGTTGCTGGGGGCGCATTGTTCGACGCACTGGCGGCACTCTTGTACTGCAGCATAGCAGCGCTTTTAAATGAGATTTCGGCAGTCACAAGTGCTTCGTGCTAAACATATCCAGTTTTTTTTTCGCTCAAACGCGCAACACTGCCAGCCGATTTGGTGGCATTTAAACGCAGATGGCACACATGGGGTCATGAACACTGCAGCGCGGAGGACCGTCGCTTACATTCAAACACATAAAAAACACGAATTTCAATGGCGATTTCGCGAGTTTTTAGTTTTTAATTTAATTTTGTTTTGACAAACACAAACGCAGAAGAAGAAGAAGTGTGGTGGGAGAGAACAGGGTTGCACAGTACCGTCTATCGATAGCCCATGGAACAACCGATAGCGTCAATGCGATAGCCGCATTAAGAGTAAGAAGAAGAGCACCGATTCACAAAACAAAATATTGCCCTCAAAATTCAGCAACAAGTTTCCCCTTTGACCCCCAATATGAAACCAATTACGTGTCTTTTCAATTTTAAACAGAAATCTCTTCAGCTAGGATGAGCACAGAAGCGGATGCTGTAGGTGTGCCACACCGCAGCAGAATCATACAACAATGTGGGAAGATATTTGGACAGGAGAGCTAGAGTGGTCGGATAATACAATCTTGTTTCAAACCGGGCTTCCACACAAACTCCACTGCACTGTGAGATGCAGAAGTATAGATGGTCAGCCCGAGGTCATACCGGCGAACTGGCCAAGCACGACCCCAACGCAGTTAATGCCCAAATTTTTGCTTGGAAAGATTGACAGAGGACTGCTTAAAGATTCCAAGATGTTGATTTTTAGTCCCATCCCCGGAGAAGCCCTAGATGCGCTGACCAGAATAATGAGCTCCGGTTACGCTGCCTGCGTTCACTTTTCTCCCAGTTTAAAGTGCACTATTAAGATTATTATTCTGGTGTACGAACTCGAACGCCAAGCTTTTCTGGGATTTATTCCTAATAATCAGCAGATGTTCATCAATGAACTACGGGAAGTTATCCTGGAGTGTAAACTACGCCAGGGTAACCATTAGTAAGCTGGTTGTAAATCCAATCCGAAACTACTAAAATATATGACAAGTATTTTGCAAATTCTTGGTTTTTATCTTCTATTTCCACATTCCCCTATAACTAATTTGTTCGGGCCTGAACTGTTGAAATTTAAAAAAAGTTAATTATTAGCTTTTTAAAAATGATATGTTCTCTAAAAAAAATATATTTCAGATATCTTTATGTCATATATCATTATGTTAAATAATAAAGTAAATATTGCAAATATTTGTTGTTTTTGTAAATATTTTTTTTATGTAATTTTTTCTCATGAAATACTTATTACAGCTGGGAGGTTGATGTAAGTTCTTTAATAACTAAAGCACAGCAAAATAAAAAATCGGAATATTTTATGTATACATATTTCGCAAACACATGTCAAATGGGGCTACATCATAAAACCAATTTATTGTTACAACTTTTAATTTTGATAGATGGGTGCACAAAATTGGGAACACCAAAACTAATTTATGCTAATTTAAAGATAAGTTAGTAAATATTAAATATTGAATCAATCTTATGAATAAACATTTTTGAATGTATCTTTTTTAAGGCTTACGTCCAAAATATAAGTCAAGGTCAACTATATAATCGGCATGACAAATTAAATACTAGTTTCACCCAAATATAAAAAATGCAAAACACTTAATATGAGCTATTTAACCGAACTTGTTTCTGTATTACTTAACAAATTACAATCTGTACATATAAATTCCAAATTAAACAAAAAATAATCATATCTTTAACACTACTTGCAAACTAACCTAATTAACTGACCGGTTGTGACTAAAAAAAGGAAGTTGGTTATAAGGTCGAAAGATTTTTAATGCCAATGGACCTGGGCAGTATTAAAAAATTGAGGGTGCTAGCCTCGATTGCTTCAGTTTACTTTTAAAATCAATAATATGTTAAACATGACAAGATTATTTAATGTAATAAATGTTTTGCTTTTTTATGGCTGCCAAATGCCAAAATCGACAGGAATGGTAGATTAAGTCATCTTAGCCCCTTCGATCAAGAAGGAATACCGGCTCAAGTACGAGAAATTTGGTAGCAACGGATTGTACATCGTTTACAACTTTAAGATGACCAAAATATGAGCACACGAGAGTCACCCAATATGATTTAATGCTGCCTAATTGTTAATTAAACTACATGCAATATAACATTTTTAAGTCCTAGAAATCTAAGGAACGTGGCTATACAAATTTATAACCAATTTGTTTTGGTTACATCTTTGAGACTAACCGAATAAAAATGGCCTTGAATAGTTAATATATATTGGGTTGTTTCGCTTCATTGCAAAGCAGTATTGTTCGGATTTCCTCAGCGATATGAACATGGCTTCAATAAAATTGGTGAGAAGTTGGATTAAAAAAAAAATGTTTGATAACCTTTATCACCATCTTTCAGATTTTCTTCGCTGCCCTCATTACCGCTTTGGCGTCCAATTCCTTTGCGGGTCTCCTGGGTAAAGTAGTTTCCCCCCTATTAGAAAAAGCCTCGAAGATCATGGGTCCGGGCCCCGAATCACCCCAAGTTATTTCCCCTGGCGACAATAATGTCCAGCCGCCTCGCTACAATAAAAACTTAACACTGTCTGCAGCTGCTCTGAAAGGTGCTGCTGGATAAAAAACTAAGGAGTAAAATGGTACCAAATCTAGTTAATTCTGAATAATAGTAGCAATCTTAGCTACATAGCAATTTTAAAGGTGACACTACACATTACTGAATATGGTTTTCATAACCTGTAATCATTATTTAAGACATAATTAAATTCATAATACGAACTATTCCAGAATTAGTTAACATATTTTTTACTTTTTAAACGTGTTACTGCTGAAATCTAAAAACAATTACATGCGTGTATTAATTAATTAAAATAATTGATTCTTAAATAACCGTTAAGAGTTCATTGTTAATTCTCCCTTTTAAAATTACACTAAATTATATACCTTCATGTACAAATAAGAAAAAACAAGACATAACATAACTGATTTCGAAGGAGATATTCCCGAATTCTTCTGGCAGGGAGATCCTCAACGGGAATCAGTCCGAAATCTTTACGAAGAGATTTTATTTGGGGTTTTTATCAGATATAAACTACAAGCTACGGCACACGAGCGGAGCCAGCTTCAAATTAGCATTCGCACTAGCTCTAAATGGACGAGGTGGCGTAGTCGGTCGGGAACTTGAAAAGGTGCTTTCCGGTGGCCTGAACAGAGGGCAGGAGTCCGGCATTGGGGACGATGTTCCACGAGAGGTAGAGCGAAACGTTGCGGTTGTCCTTCAGGCCGTTGCCGTCGTCCCAAAAGTAGTATTTGGTGTTCATGTTCTTGAAGTCGAGCACGGCGTTCTCGCCGCGCAAGATGATCTTGTCCCAGAGGACCACCTGGTTGAGTTGGTTGGCCGGAGTCTGGTACTCAGCGGTTAGATAGAGGAACAGCTGCTTCACATTCCAGTTGAAGATGCCGGTGAGGTTCGTCTGCAGGTCGAAGGTGACGTAGCCCAGGTCGTGCTTCTCCCGCGAGGCACCGTAATCCGGCACATTCTTCACCAGCACTCGGACCGTATTGATGTTCGCCTCGGTACTGTAGTCCAGGAAGACGGTGGACAGGAAGCAACTGAAGGTGAGGCAGGCCAGGACGCTCAGCGTATATGCCACCGTGGCGTTTCCTCTGGTTAATACCGTGTGCATCTTTAAATCGTTAAATCCCTGCGAATCCGGCGAATGACACGTAGTGTTGTTAGTATGGAGAAAAAATCCTAATCAGTGCGACCGTCGCTAGACGATTAAAATATTCCTTTTTGCATAAAATAAACTAAAATAGCCCTGTGGTTCAGGGCCCGGCTTTGAGTAAACGATGATTAACCTTGTTTATTAGCTCTGAATTAGAATTCAAAATTTCTTTTATAATCAAATTGCACTGACACATTTACTTTACAAAGAGGCTTTGCTTCCAAAAAAATAATATATATTTTTGTTTGTCTAATTAAATAATTAATAATAACTTTAGGAAGTTGTCATTGAATATACATACAGTGTAATAGTGAATTTGTTTCAAATAAAAATATTTTTTTCATTGACTCCAAAAGAAGGTTAACCAAATAAATTTTAAAATGTTTACGTTATTAGCATGTATATTTACAAAATTAATATTATTTTGTAAGCATTAGTTATGTACTAATTAATCCCGCAATGCTGATAATGCAATCATACCAAACGAAATTCGCTGTTATCACCCGTTATCGATATACGATTGCAACGGGAATGGCATCGCCAGGTGGCAGCACCGGCTGGGAACTAGTTCCACTTTCCAGTTCAATTCAATATCCGGGAATAATATGGCGATCCGAAACTCTGAATAGACAGAGAATTTAACACTGCTGAAAAATTGATTAATTTGCTATAAATTTTAAACGGTAATACGCGCAAATATCTCCAAACTGTTAACGACCGTGTGGGGCACACAATGTGATAGTTTTCCGATATAAAAACGCCAGTTAATTGGTGAAAATAGCCATCGGAATAGTGGCAAAAAAATTTTCCCTTGTCGCTCTGCTATTTTTTGCCTTCGTCTGCGCGTGCGAGCGAGATGGCGGCAGCGGCACGACTGGTCGCGTCGGAGCATCGCGTGTGAGCAAGCGAGATGAGGCTATCGACCAAGCGAAAACGCATACGCCAAAGTCGAAAAGTGATTTTTTCTTCGTCCGTTCGGGCGAAGTCGAAACTGCTGCGAAAGGTTTTATAAATAAAGTATTGCAATTGCATATGCGCAAGAGTTTTTAAACGCACAAAGTGCGGCCTTCGATTGGCCGTTTTGGCGGCGTCTCTGCTCTCTGATTATATAAATACTAAAGCACGTTGCCCAAGTCCTAATTGCGCATCGATTGTCTTGTGTGTCCGCAAATACAAGAAATTAGCGAAATAAAACGAAGAGAAATTAAGTGATTAAGAGTGTTTTTTGTTTCGCACCTGAACAATTTTCGGTGTAAAAATGTGAATCAGTGGACAGGGAAAATGGAATGGGAGAATTAAATGCGAACGAACGAGTGTGCAAAGGCAAAGTGAAAGAATGCGTGGCGTTGCCACCCCGCGGCCAGTGAGTGTGCGTGTGTGTGCGAGGTGCCTGTGTGTGTATGTGTGGTAGTTTCTTTGCCCACCGCTTATATATATATAAGCCAATTTCTAACAATATCCAAAAATCAATATAACCGAAGAACCTCTTTTGTTGATGTGTTTTTGTGATACCACCCAACCTACCCCCTCTTTGAAAAACACATCAACAATATTTTAAAATTCACTTGAAGTGAGATTTCCTTGGGAGTAATTTTTGTTTACCCACTCAAAAAAAAGAAAAAACCAAAAAATCTATAATTTTAATACTCTCTCCCCGAAAGGACGCGCGAATTGAAAATAAATCAAGAAGAAAACCAATAACATAACCTCCAGCGAGAGAGTAAAATGAATAATGATGCGAAAACCCATGAATGCGATGACTTGAATGTGCGCTCTACGGCGTATTTTAACCAACAAACCACAACCAACCAACCGAAAGCAACCAGCAAGACTAACGCAGGCTCCAATAATAACTCCAATCAAAAGCCCAACAGACAGTTTAATCATAATTTACCTCGTATTGCCGCCGCAAGACATTCGATAGCCGCCGCTCTACTGGCTAGTAATAGTCTAAAAACCAGCGGACGGAAGATCCTGTCGGCCAAGAATGAGCCACTGACGACGACGGAGTCATCATCAGGCGCATTAACCACTACACCCATTAATAAAGCTGCCGCCTCCCCAGCCAGCCGATTGAAAGTTAACAATAACACCAATAACACTGCCAAGATGTCTGGAACCAGTAGCAGTCAGACCTCGGCCACGCCTACACCTCCCACGGCCACCAGCAACAGCAGCACAGCAACAACAACGAATAACAACAGTGGTGGAAATGGCAGCGGTAGCGGTATCGGTACCACGGTCATAGCCAATCCCGCTTCGGTAACTAACACCGGAGCAGGAAGTGCCGCAAAGTTCCGTGCCGCTGTGGCCTCGGCGCCTAGCCCAGCACTGCCTGCAAACGCTCCTGCAACAGCAACTGCTCCTGCCCCCAGTAGTAGCTCCTCCAGCTCCTCGTCCTCGAAGAAGACCCGAGCAGCAGTGGCTGCCCTGAAGCGACAGGTTGCCTTGCAGCAGCAGCAACAGCCCGTTGCCGGGAATAGCCCCAACTTGGCCAGCAAGGATTCGGCGCATTTGAAATTCGCCGCAACCACTCTGCTGATGGGCGCCGCAGCCGCTGCCGCCGATAGCAACGCTGGCGCTGCTACCGGTGGATCAGGAGCAGGAGGATCATCAGGGCCAAGAATGGCCCTCAACCCCGCCGTGGATGTGGCCAATGCCGCCGCCGTGCTTAAGCAGAAGCTGAAGGACGCGGCTGCCGCTGCTTCGGCCTCCGCCACCAATCGGTCCACCACCTCGTCTATGTCATCAACCGCCTCCTCGCTATCCTCGTCGGCGGGCCTCGTGAATGCCATCTCGGCGCTGCAGAACATTATCACGCCGGACACGGACACCGACACCGAGCCCTACCCCCAGCCAGTCACCACAGACCTGTCCGAATCGGAGGAGGAGTCTGTCTCAGAGGTGAGTGGTCCCGATGCCTGACCTCCTGATTTTAAGCCTATACGTAATGCTCTCTCCCATACAAAATATATCCGATTTGCAGTCCCATCAAATTCTGTGTATAATCCTAAATGATATGTTCCGTTTCTCTTAAAGAATTAGTTCAAATTTTATCCTGCATGTTCTTCACACTTTAAAGAGCTCTATGTAACATTTTAAAACCTTTCGTCCATTGAAGTAAAATTAGTTTTATTGGTTGTAGATAAGAACGTTTCTTTGGTTATTTGATTTATAGCTCGACTTCGTTATAGCAGGAACTCGACTAAATAAGGTTTCTAAAGAAAGTGTAAAAGACAAGTATTTATTTTACTTTTCGGTAAAAGCCATTTAAAAATTTTTGTAATTTGTTGGCCGAATACATTTTAGTGAATGTGTTTTTTATGTTATTCTTTCTAGACGACGTATTAAATGTAAAATATTCAAGTTAAATTGAAAACTAAGTTTCTAGATTTAACCTTTTTCCAAACGAATCAGAGTCAGATTGAAAGGGCAAACATTTAAGATAAGTCGGGTGATCAAAAGCGTTGTTTTATCTTTGGCTTGCACCCCCTACCAAAATATCCAACGTTTTGTTACCGTAGCTGTGCAAGTGTTTATATTTCCTAGTAAATCCATGCTTGCCGCCTCACAGATTTCCATTATCTCTGCTGGTAATTTTATACCTACGTGGGGAAATACCTAGAATCGAATTGTTCGCACATTTTTGTGCTATAGACGCATTTGTTGTTGCAAAAAATTGTCTCATTTCTCTTTCCCTTATCCCTTCCCTGTGTGTGTGTGTGTCCAAGCCCTTCACTCCTGGTAGTGTGGGTGTATGATTTATCAGCTGTTCGAACGCTTGCTGGTTTGATTGTGTGCATAAATACCTATTTCTTTGTCTAGCACACTACGACATGCACGAATGCGAAATGCTAAATGTGAACTGCGAAAAACGTAAAAGCTTTTTTATGCTGTAGCTAATCAATCAAAGGTCAATGCATGGATAGCGGTTGTAATTGACCCCGCCTCTCCCACGCAAATCAGCAGTTTAATTTCTTCGTTGCTTGCACATGTACATATTTTTTTCGGCTGCTTTCGCGAATTCTCTTTTGGGCAGCGTGACAAAGATGTCAGATGGCGATCTGGCAACGCCGCTGCCTCTGCTGCTTCTTTCTAGCTGCTGATTTTGTTGTTGCAGCAGTAAAACACTTCAAAAATAATAATAAATAAGAGCCATAATAATAATAACGCACTTTGAGTGTAATGAACTTTGTCGATTTTTTTTTTGGTCAAGGAAGACAATTGCTGATTATATTTTGCAGTAGCGTGCAAACATTTTACGGTTGATTATATTTTTCACAAATTTACCAGCGCACACCCATACCAATACACAGCAACGAGAACAAACCATCGGCTGCTGTTGAACTCGTTCATGATGAATTTTAGTTGTAGGTTCTCTTCTCTTCGCTTTTCTTACCGCCGCCGTTTTTGTTTCTCCGCTTGGTTATGTTCTTTTATTTTTTGTTTCTGTTCATTCATCAAAGGTTAAGCAGACAGCACTTGGCCTCGTGTTGAAAATGTATTTCGACAAATTTTTCGGCATTTTCTTTTTTGGTTCAATAATTTAAGGCGTGGGCGTAAACACACACACACACCAACACGCACACATGCAGACTATGTTGAGGTGTGTGCGTGCAGTATTTAAATCGATGTACAAACTGCACTCTCTGAGTCATGCGGTTCTTTAAATGCTCAAGGCAGGGAAAACTATTTGGTTTACGGGATAAAATAATGCTAAACAATGTTTTACAGTAAAAAATATTTATTTAAGTTAATAAGTTTTTAATAACTTGGAATTCAAAAAATATCGAATTAATACCATTTTTGTTATTGCTGGTTTTTGCTGTCCTCTTTTCTCCCTTCCTTCTGTTATCGATAATTACATTTTTGGCCAACCTGCCACCACTTTTTTGGCACATTGGCAACGCCGTCCAAACGTTACTTATTTTGTTGATTTATTTAAAATTTTTTATGGTTCGCCATGCAGTTGCTGTCACATTTCAAACTCCTCAATGTTAAACTTCCCCAAAAAGAAAATAGACTCTTTTAAATTTTTGGTTATAAACGAATTTGAAGGCGTCTGACAAGCATATAAGAACAAGGCAGAGATGGTCGACCGGCCATCTATTTGCACGCTTTTACAAAACTTGACCAAAACGATGATAAGAAGTCTCCGATCCAGCGTGGATTTTCTCTTGCAGTCCTTCGTCCATGTAAATCGGCCGTAGACCCACCATGTAGTTGAACTTTCCCCTACAAACTCCAATTTCAACTCTCTCTGCTTGCGTTAATTTTTATTATTTATGTACACGTTTCTTTCGTTTCTCTTTATTTGTAGATCCTATTGGCATTCTTGTGTTTAAGGCCAGATCTCCTGGTAAGTTTCAGTTTCGCGTTATATACCCGCTACCCAAACCGCTCCAAAAACAAAAACAACAAAAACGAACATTAACCGAAGGCAAACGAAAGTATTTAAAGCTTCAAGTCCACCAGTTCTACTAAACTATTAATTTTCGCCAAACTATTGATCGGTTATTAACCCAACTACTGCGCTTCCTCCTCGCACAAATAAAACCACACCACTTTGTTGCTGGCCTTAGACAACAAGAATGTGCTCTACTGATCAACTGTTATATAGCTTCTCTAATTTGTAACTTCCAGCTTAATAATTATATTTGTAGGCAACTTCTTACTACTCACCCCAGTAAAAGATTTTAGTTTGTTAGTAGAAAAAAGTTTGATTTGACAAGTGCCAGAAGCTAACAAATAGAAATGAATAATTTTCTCTTACAGGACGATATTCCCGAATCGGATCCGGATAGCTGCCCGCATGAGGGCGAGGTGCGCGAGGATGAGGACGAAACGGAGGAGGAGTCGGAGGATTCTGATGAGTCTGAAGGCGATGACGAAGAGGATGAGGAGGAGATAGGTGAGTAATGAGCCATTTAACAACGTAATACAGATTACTAATCAATTGACTATCCATTTTCCTATAAGATGTGATGCAGGACAATGATGCCGACGACGAGGAGATCGACGATGAGGACGAGGAAGAGGATGCGCCCGAAGTGAGTTCCTTCCTGCTGGACGCCAACAACAAGCGTCCTAGTAACCTCACCGCCCTGCTCCAGGCCGCGGCCAATGAGAAGGCTCCCGTCCTGCGCCACGCCACCCACGCCATCGACGAGACGAAGCAGGCGCTCACCAAGATGCGCTGTGCCAACAGTCCCCGAGACAAGAAGTAAGCTCCACCCTTCTGTTCTATGGTTGTCCCCTATAATAATCCGAAATGGTATCTCCTTTTGCTACAGCAGTGGTTTCTCCCGATCCCTTGTCGCCGCCTGCACAGACAACGATGTCAATACGGTGAAGCGGCTACTCTGCAAGGGAAACGTCAACCTCAACGATGCGGCCGCCTCCACGGACGATGGCGAATCCCTTCTCTCGATGGCCTGCTCCGCGGGATACTTCGAGCTCGCTCAGGTATGGTTATTGCTTTGTATAGTAAATTATAGTAGGTTCTACGATTGATTTCACATCTTCAGCAAGTTTAATTCCTAAAGATGGTTAAAAAATGAACACGGGATTTGCGTTTGCTCGGCGGAAAGAAAATGTAATTTACTTTATTTTCGCGACATAAATCTTGCAATGTTGACTTGATGTGGCAACGCCACCCATGCACCTTTGCAATATCAATTTTATCTATCGATAAATACCTGGAGTTCAAATCGGCAGACAAACAAAATCTGCAGGAGTCGCGAGAAGAAAATACAAATTTAGACGTGAAGATTTATCATGCAACTATCCGTTTATTTGCCACAGGTTCTGCTGGCCATGTCTGCCGCCCAGGTGGAGGACAAGGGTCAAAAGGACTCGACGCCGCTGATGGAGGCCGCCTCCGCCGGTCACCTGGACATTGTCAATCTGCTGCTCAGCCACAACGCCGATGTGAACGCCCACTGCGCCACCGGTAACACCCCGCTCATGTTTGCCTGCGCCGGTGGCCAGGTGGATGTGGTCAAGGTGCTTCTCAAGCACGGAGCCAACGTCGAGGAGCAGAACGAGAACGGACACACGCCCCTGATGGAGGCCGCCTCCGCCGGCCATGTGGAAGTAGCAAAGGTAAGTGAAAATAATAAAACTAAGACCTCGAAAGTGCAGAAAAAAAGAGCAAATCATGACAATAATGTCCCCGTGACATGACGCAGTACTCGTACTAAGAATACACTTCGCAAGAGTTTTTTTTAGTAATCCAAAACCCGTTTTAAACCTTCAACAAATAACTATTAAAGTATAAAGTCAAAAAATATATAACAATAAAATGATCTTTTGAAGATTTAAAGAAACGAATAGTAATTATAATAAATGTTAGTTTTAATAGTAAGTTAAAAATACCCTTTGAAACGGCAACTCACCATATGGTTTCTTAGAAAAAAAGTGTTTAATTATATTTTGAGCCTTTCGAGCGCTTGCTGTACACCGCACAAATGATTATAATCCGAGATTTGAGAGTGGTGGTATCTCCTGTGACCTGAATCGAGTTAATGATTGGTCTGGGCATGATGCCAACTCTGTGATTTAGTTTGATCTTATCTGATGTATTCTGCAGAAATGTTTCTTTATAATTGCCTTGTTAATTGCTAATCGGTTATCCTTGTCACATTTTAGGTTCTGCTCGAGCATGGAGCCGGCATCAACACCCACTCAAATGAGTTCAAGGAGAGCGCCCTCACACTGGCCTGCTACAAGGGTCACTTGGACATGGTCCGATTTCTGCTTCAAGCCGGAGCCGATCAGGAGCATAAAACCGACGAAATGCATACAGCCCTGATGGAGGCTTCGATGGACGGCCATGTGGAGGTGGCACGCCTGCTTCTGGACTCCGGTGCCCAAGTAAACATGCCCACGGACTCGTTCGAGTCACCTCTTACGTTGGCCGCCTGCGGAGGCCATGTGGAACTGGCTACTCTGCTGATCGAGCGGGGTGCCAACATTGAGGAGGTGAATGACGAAGGCTACACACCGCTCATGGAGGCCGCTCGTGAGGGTCACGAAGAGATGGTGGCCCTGTTGCTCAGCAAGGGTGCAAACATCAATGCCACGACCGAGGAAACCCAGGAGACGGCCCTTACGTTGGCCTGCTGTGGAGGCTTCAGCGAGGTGGCCGCCTTTCTTATCAAAGAGGGAGCCAACCTTGAGCTTGGCGCCTCCACGCCGCTCATGGAGGCCTCGCAAGAGGGACACACCGATCTGGTGCGCTTTCTGTTGAAGAACAAGGCCAATGTCCATGCGGAGACGCAGACGGGCGATACTGCTTTGACTCATGCCTGCGAGAACGGTCACACGGATGCCGCCGGCGTGCTTCTATCCTATGGAGCCGAGCTGGAGCACGAGTCCGAGGGCGGACGAACGCCGCTGATGAAGGCCTGCCGAGCCGGACACCTGTGCACCGTCAAGTTCCTCATCCAGAAGGGCGCCAATGTCAATAAACAGACCACTAGTAATGACCACACTGCCCTGTCGCTAGCCTGTGCCGGGGGCCACCAGTCCGTTGTGGAGCTCCTGCTGAAGAACAACGCCGACCCGTTCCACAAACTGAAGGACAACAGCACCATGCTGATCGAGGCTTCCAAGGGTGGACACACTCGTGTGGTCGAGCTGCTGTTCCGCTACCCGAACATTTCGCCCACAGAGATGGCAGCAGCTGCGAACGCGAACCAGGCAGCGGCAGCCACCGCAGCCCCAGCTGGGCAGCATCAGATGCGTCTGCAGACCCATAAGATCATCCATCAGCAGCTCCAGCATCAGCTTAACGCTCCCCCTGGATTGCACGAGTTGTCGGAGGCGGCACGCGCATCAAACCAACAGCATTTCCACCAGCAGCAGTTCAGTAGTGCCGGCAACGGATCCTCCAACATTGTGGCACTAGGCACTGGCGATTTCTTAGACGCCGGCGAGCTGCAACTCACGGCGACAGCGGGCATGGGCGCGGGAGCAGGAGCCAGCACCACAGGCAGTGAAGCTGGTATGGAGGAGTATGGAGAAGTCGGAGGAATCGACCTGACCACTCTCGGTGCTCAGCAGCAGGAAGGCCTCATTGCCAAGTCTCGACTGTTTCACCTGCAGCCTGGCTTCGAACAGCAGCAACAACAGCAGCAGCAGCCACCTGCAGCCGGTCAGCATCAGTTGGTCCCGTGCAAGCACTTCGACCTGGACATGGAGCACATTAACTCACTCCAGCCGCCGCAAAAGGCGCCGCCAGCGCCTCCGGTTCTCTTCCACACCGTTTGTCAGCAGCCTGTAATCCAACAGCAAAGTCAGAGCACGCTGAAGGGCTTGCTTCCGAACCGGAATCGCGCTCAGAAAACCGGTGAATTGGTGGAGTTTATCGACTGTCCACTGGATCAGCAGCAGCATGGTGAGCAGGTCCGTACGCAGCCATTGGGAGAGGATGGAAAGGCCACGCAGTTCGCCTGCGTTGGAGAGGATCCACGGCTGCAGCGACGACGCGGTTTCATGCCGGAGCTGAAAAAGGGCGAACTGCCGCCGAAGTGCAGTAGTGGTGAACTTAACGAGCTAGCCCTGAAAGGTAAGTTTTTGGCCTTGAATGCTAGTCCAAATTTCGGGGAAATTTGTATATCTACCTAATTTATATTTCAATTTATTACATGCAATAGGAGCCGAAAACAATCAGTCCGTACCGACAGCACAGGACAACAGTACCTGCGCCCAAATCCCAGCGGTAAGTCATTTATTCCCATTAGAAGAATATAATCTATAAGTTTTTAATCGATACTTACAGCGAAACTCTGGCGGAGCCATTATACACTCTTCGGAAGTTCTCCAGAGCACAGCCATCAGCGACAGGCCCAAGGTTAAGGCCACCAACAAGAGCAACCGCAAACAGGCAGCCGCAGCAGCAGCAGCTGCAGCAGCAGCGGCGGCGGCGGCAGCAGCAGCAGCCCAGCATGCCCAGCAGGTGTTGCCAAACCTGCAGCAAAACCCAATGGTGTCCATTTATAATAACCTGGTAAGTGTAACATCAATTTCATTAGGATATTGCGCTTAAATCAAATATTATTATTATTATATTATATTATTATTTTCGCAGCATATGCAGCAGACGCATCTGCAACTTCAGCAGCATTTGCAACTGCACCACCAGCGAGTAGCACTGGACAATGCAGCGGCTGCAGCCGCAGCAGCGGTTTCATCCGCGAACGTGGCTTACTCTAATTCCCCGGCCTCTCCTCTCGCCTCCCCCACTGGCAGTGGCAACTATGTCGACCAGCAGCAGCAACAGTCCTTGGATGTAGCCCTGCAGCAGCAGCAGTCCTTGGATGTGGCCCTGCAGCGCAAGACGGCCATGGACGATTTTCGTGGAATGCTGGAGACAGCGGTGAACGGGTCGAGGGGCAGAAAAGACCTTGCCCTTAACACACCCCAGTTGAACTTCTTTAAGGACGGCTGGCATATGGTGGGAGTGCACAATTTCTTCGGCGATCAGCCCAAATCGCCAACTGAGACTCCGCCGGAGATGGAGGAGACCACTATGTCTTCGCCAACTGAAGCAGATCGTCTTGGATCGGAACCTCGAGCCGAGATGAAGAATCTGGCCACGCTTTGTTCGGCGGCGGCAGCAGCTGCTGCTGTGGCTGCAGCAAATAAGGATCAGGACGAAATCAGCTCGGAGCTTGAAAGCGATTGCGATGATGACGCCGAGGGCGTTGCTGGGGCAGATGGCGAGGAAAATACATTGCCACCCGAGCCTATTGAGTTGGGTGCCGATGCTAGCATTGTGGAGGAAGTGGAGGTTGATGAGGACGAGGAAGATGATGACGAAGAGGATACAAACAGCGGAGATATCGATAAACTCAACTACGAGGATGATGATGCTGAGGTGGACAACGATGGTGAGGTAGACTACATCGATGAGGACGAAGGTGGTGGCGACGGCGAGGATGAGGAGGACGACGGGGACGATGACGAGTTCTTCTTAGACGAGCCCGACAGTGATCAAGGTGCCGGCAACAATAATAACAACAAGAGTGGCGCCAGTTCGCTGCCCATGAAGCACCGAAAAATGACTACTCGGCTGGAGAACCTTATACTCACCTCGCAGACGCTGTGCGACTTCCCGCCCGAACTCACTAACTCTGAGCTGGTTCACGTCCTGCCCCAGATTAGCAATCTCAAGGCGGCAGCCAGCAGCAACGCGGCGCTGAACAGCGTGCTCCAACAACAGCTAGCTGCTGCCACCGCGGCAGCTGCACACGCCAAAGCAGCTGCGGTCCACCAGAAGCTGCAGCTCCATCACCAAGAGGGAGATCAACAATGCGGTAAGCTTACAGATAATGAATTGCTAGTAATTTGTTTATTAATTGAATTGTCTCTTCATCTTTGCAGAAGACGATGGTGGCGCCAGCGCGAGTGAACTTTATTCCGGCTTGGAGCATTTTGCCAATGATGGCGAAATGGAGGACATATTTCAGGCAAGATACCTTCAACTAAAAGAATATTAATATTAATTGATCTCCAGTCTATGAAAATATTTAAAATAACCAAACTTTTCACTTTGTTTTAAAGGAATTGGCAAGTAGCCTGAACTACCCAGAGCTGGCCGAGTTTAGCCTGAACCAGATGTGTAAGGGCAGGTTCGCAGGCAACTGGGCGCAGTCATCGGCCAAGTGGACTGGACAGGAGCAGTTGGTGGGCGTGGTAAGGTCGCCGGGTCTGATTAACCCAGGCGATGTTCCACAGGATGCCCAGCGACAGGCGAATCTTGTTCTCCTGGACTATCCCATGCAGCAAAACATCCCTCTCGACCAGCGACTAATGGAGGCTGAGGAAATGCACCAGCAGGTTAGCAATCTTTTCTCCCAGTTCGTGCATATGGAATTTTAATATCAATATCATTTTTATTTCAGCAACACCAACAGGCACCGCTTTCTTTGCTGCCCTTTACGGACGATCAGCAGCAGCAGCTTCACCATCAAGCATTGCCCATTGCCGCCGAATTTCATCAGCACCAGCAGCTCGCGTTAGAATCGGATCCAGACCTAAAGCAGCAGCTCCAGCATTACTCTAACGCGCGCACCATCAAGGCGTTGGCAGCCCAGCACCAACATCAGCAGCAGCCTGCCACCAACTTTGTTTACAACGTCGAGAGCGGCGACAAGAATGCTCCGCCGGTGCAGTTGCTCTTTCAGTTGCCTCCGAACATGACCCAGCATCAGGCGCAACAACAGGCATTTGCAGAGCCACTCTCCGAACAGCAGCAGCAGCAGTTGCACGCTGAGCAGGCCCATCTCTTCCAGCATCGAACTGGCGGTCAGCGTCCGCCCACCCAGAGTGAACTAGAGCAGGTGGCCCAAGAGTTGTTGCTCCAGCGCACTGGTCAGGTGCCAGGAGCTCCTGTCGTGGGTGTCCAAGCTTTGCCGCTCAAGCAAAAGCACTTTAACCTGCAGGAACAGTTGCTCCTTCACCCTCCGCCGCATATGCAGGCGCCCACTTGTGTCCAGCACCAGGTAAATCGGCACGAGTCAAAAGGAGCAGCTAGAGACTTATGTGAAATCTTTAATTTATCCTCCAGGTGGCCACGCAGACGCATCCTGCTTCTGTGGTAGTGCCGCAGCCAGCAGTTGGACAGTACACGCAATTCGCCCTGCAGCCTTCCCAGCAACAACAATTGCAGCAACAGCCGGGCCAGCCGCCGAACGAGCTATCCATTTGGCCGATGGGCACGCCTACTCCCACCCCCAGCAGCGGTGTTAGCGCCACCAAGTCAATGCCCGGTGGCATTGCCAAGAAGGCCATCGACAAGCAGTCGCGCAAGGATCGCCGCTGCGTGATGCGCCAGACACCAGCCGGCAGCCAAGGTGAGTTTTCCTTGCAAACCATTTTACCGTTTACATTTGTAATGTTCATTTAGCCATTAAATCTTTAACATTACACATTTAATCATTTTTACACCATTCCATCCACAGTGAATACCAACCAGCATCAACAGCCCCAGGTCGCAACTGCCCAGCAACAGGCCCAACTCCAGAACCAATTGGCCGTTGCGACCACCGTTAGTGTGGACAAGACCATTGAGATTGATTCGGAGACGGAGTCGAACCACGATACCGCCCTAACATTGGCTTGTGCCGGCGGTCACGAGGAGCTGGTGGAGCTGCTCATCAATCGAGGGGCGAACATCGAGCACCGCGACAAGAAGGGATTCACGCCGCTTATCCTGGCCGCCACCGCTGGCCACGACAAGGTGGTGGACATTCTGCTCAAGCACAGCGCTGAGCTCGAAGCTCAATCAGAGCGCACCAAGGACACGCCCCTGTCGCTGGCCTGCTCCGGCGGCCGCTACGAGGTGGTGGAACTTCTGCTCAGCGTTGGTGCCAACAAAGAACACCGCAATGTATCCGACTACACGCCATTGAGCTTGGCGGCCAGCGGAGGCTATGTCAACATCATTAAGCTGCTGCTCAGTCACGGAGCGGAGATCAATTCGCGCACGGGCAGTAAGCTAGGAATCTCCCCGCTGATGTTAGCCGCTATGAATGGCCACACGCCGGCAGTGAAGCTGCTTCTGGACCAGGGATCCGACATAAATGCTCAGATCGAAACGAATCGCAACACGGCCTTGACTTTGGCCTGCTTCCAGGGCAGGCATGAGGTCGTAAGTCTTTTGCTTGACCGACGGGCCAATGTGGAGCATCGGGCTAAGACGGGTCTGACGCCGCTTATGGAGGCCGCCTCGGGTGGTTACATAGAGGTGGGTCGCGTGCTGCTGGACAAGGGGGCGGATGTCAATGCTGCGCCGGTGCCAACGTCCAGGGACACGGCTCTCACCATCGCCGCTGACAAGGGGCACCAGAAGTTTGTGGAGCTGCTCCTGTCCCGTAATGCTAGTGTAGAGGTAAAAAATAAGAAGGGTAACTCCCCACTCTGGTTGGCCGCCCACGGTGGTCATCTCAGTGTGGTGGAGCTTCTTTACGACCACAATGCTGATATTGACTCACAGGATAATAGACGCGTATCCTGTCTGATGGCTGCTTTCCGCAAGGGTCACACTAAGATTGTCAAGTGGATGGTGCAGTATGTGTCGCAGTTCCCCTCCGACCAGGAGATGATCCGCTTCATTGGCACGATCAGTGACAAAGATCTGATCGACAAGTGTTATGACTGCATGAAAATCCTGCGTAGCGCAAAAGAGGCTCAGGCCGTTAAGGCCAACAAGAACGCCTCGATCCTGCTGGAGGAGCTTGACCTGGAGCGGACACGCGAGGAGAGTCGCAAGGCAGCCGCCGCCCGGCGTCGTGAGCGCAAAAAGAAGAAGAAGATGGAGAAGAAGGAGGAGAAGCGCCGCCAGCAGCAGGGCAATGGAGTTGGCGGAGACGATATGCAGGGCGATGACGATGATGCCAGTGACAAGGATGATGATTCCGACAAGGACGACGAAGACGAAGAGGTGGCGCCGGCCGCAGCCCGTGAAGAGGGCGACTCGGGCATCGATCAGGGTTCATGCTCCAGCGGCGACACTAAGGGAGCGCGCATAGGTGGTGGCCAATCCGTTCAGGCTGCGGAAACGGCAGCCAACTCGGGGTCAAACAACAATCAGGGAAAGAAGAGCAAGAAGCAGCCGAAAAACAAGCCGGTAACGGTGGAACCGGTTGCAGCTCCCACTACGCCTCCCGTTATCTCATCCGCTTCGAGCACAGTCCTTAAGGGCATCTCTGTGAAGAAGCAACCGGCAGTCGAAGTTGTTAGGCAGCCTCCTGTCATACAGCAGGCTGCTCCTCTCAAGCGACAACTGGAGGTAAAGAAAGAGGAGCCATCTATCAAAAAGAAGGAAGAGAAGAACAGCTCGACCAGTAGTAGCAGCAACAACAAGCGTGAGAAGGAGAACCTTGCGCCCAAGGAGGTTGCACTGCCAGCGAAGCAGCAACCCAGTGGCTCCAGCAAACTGCAGATCAGCGAATCCGCCAACAATATTAGCAGCAGCACTGCTACCAACGCCAGTAGCGCCAATACTACCACCCGCAAAGAAGTGTCCAAACCAGTGTCACAAGCCACCAGCAGTGCCAGTCTGAATCCTGCCAAACGCAGCGAAGTCGATGGCTGGAAGGAAGTGGTGCGGAAGAGCAGCACACAGCAGACAACAGCGGTGGGAGTGAGTGGAGTTCCCGCGCCTGTGACAGCAACCAGTTCAGCCACCAGCGTGCAACACCATCCGCATCACCCGCACCATCACCTGGCCAACAGCTCGAGCAACAGTTCCAGCTCTCTTGCCACAGGCGCAACTTCATCGGCGTCCTCAGTTTCTGAGATGACTTGCAAGAAGGTGCAGGTGCCGGTAAATGCCATCTCCAGGGTTATTGGACGAGGCGGAAGTAACATAAACGCCATTCGTGCCACTACCGGTGCCCACATCGAGGTGGAGAAGCAGGGCAAGAACCAGTCGGAGCGCTGCATCACGATCAAAGGTCTGACGGATGCCACCAAGCAGGCTCATATGCTTATATTGGCACTCATCAAAGATCCCGATGTGGACATCTTGCAAATGTTGCCCAGGATCAACAGCAGCATTAAGCAATCGTCCAATAGCGGGTCAAACGCTCCGATGGCCGTGGGTACTTGGGATAATCGCACCGCTGCCGGTGTCAATGTGTACACATTTTCTTCGGCTGCATCCACCACCTCTACATCGTCCAGTTCGTCTGCCAGTTCCACAACAGCGGCGGGAGCTGCCTACAGCAATGCGCACAAGCAGCAGCAGCAGCTGCAGCCCATGAAGACCACAAGTGGGCGTTCATCTGCGTCTGCCAAATCCAACGGCAGCAGCAGCTCCAAGGTGTCATCGGGTGGATCTAGTTCACGCAATGGCAGGGGTGGCGGTGGCTACGTCAGCCAGCAACAGACTGGTCGTAGCTCCGGAAGTGGCTCTTCAAATGGTGTGGCCAAGAGCAAGACGGAGGGCTCATCCAAATCCCTACCAGCTGCACAGAAAAGTACCAGTTCTCTGGGTAAATCCTCGACAGTGGCTACCGGAGCACAAAACTTTGCGAAGGCGGCGGCCATTTCCCAGTCCTCGCCCAAAAAGGCAGAGGGAGGAGTATCCGCTGCTGTGATTACCTCTGCAGGCGGACGCAGCAGTGGCGTGGTGGCTCCATTTGGAAGAGGAAAGCCAGTCGCTGGACAGGGAGGAACTGCAACTACTATTGGTAGCAATGTTGCCCAGCTTGGAAGCGGCAGCAGCAGCAGCAACAACAACATCAGCAACATATTGGCTGGACCAATTGGCACCTTCAACGTGGCGGATGTGGCCGCCGTAAATGCCGCCGCCGCAGCAGGAGCCGCTGCCGCCGCGGCTAACAGCAATATTAAACCCATTGCACCTATTGCACCGCCTAATAAGCGAGTGGGCTCACCCACCCAAACCCAACAGCCACAGCAGCAGCAGCAACAACACCCACCCCAGCCAGCACCTGGACCGCAGCCACAACAGCAACCCCAGCAACAGCAGCAGATACAACAGCCACCCCAGCAACAACAACCACAGACGTCCCAGCAGAATCTGGTGATCAACACAAACGTGAATGACCTAATCGCCGCCGGTGCAGCAAACAGTGGCAGCGATAGCTTCAGTGCTCAGCTGGCCGCCAAGTTGTCAAGCGCCTACTGCCTGTTCAGTGACTACCAGCAATCGCAGTGGGGAAAGTTGGGGGATCCCGGAATTGGAGGAGGAGCAGGAGCTGTGGGCGATGGGCTGCCGCAGGCGGATGCGTCCAAGGCACCGGGATATAATCGGAATATCCTTAGCTCGCCCGTGGGCAGTTCCAAGGCCTCGTCGAATCACTCCACCTCGCCACCAGTGGGAAATGTGATCCAGCAACAACAACAGCAGCAGCAGCAACCACCTCAATCGAGCCAGCAGAGCGTGCAGCAGGCCTTAAACATCATCACCAGTGGAGGAGTTTCTGCCGCGCCAGCCAGATCACCGATGATGTCCTCAAACGAGGGCAATCCCACGGGAGGCCAACCCTCTATGAATGGAATCCAGTCACTGGGTGAGTCGGCTCCTGCCCATTCACCGGGCGTTATCAAACCGCCCACCGCCACAGTTCCCATCCAGCGGCATGTTCCTATGCCGATCTCTGCACCAGAAGCCGGAGTCCCACCCACGTTCGGGGCGATTGGGTCCAATCCAGCCAGCGGTGGCAATTCAGTGGCAGCTCAAGCGGCTGCTGCTGCCGCCGCCGCCGCCATGATCGATCGCCAGCAACAACAGAATTTGCAGCGAATGATCTACGACAAGGTGGGAGCCTCCCAGCAGCAGCAACAACAGCAGCAGCAGCTTAACTATGCCATGGATCCCTCATCCTCGCCGTACATTGTGGATGGCAATAACTTGTTGCGTCTGAATCCACGCGCCTCGCTCTTTGCTCAGGGTAACAAGCAGCCACCGCAGCCTCCGCCGCAGGGTGGAGCCCAGTCGAACATGTTCGGAGGCAACCAAGGGAGACAGCCCCCAGGAGCTGGAGCCAGGCAGCCGGGAGGAGCAGCCGCACAACGCTGGTATGGTGGTGCTCTAGAGTATCCCTCATACACGGGGCGCGACATGCTGCACCTGGAGAACGGAGCTGGCGGAATGGCGGGCCTGGGCTCGCCATCTGCCATGTCGCCCAATCACGACGACATCCGCAAGATGCCTCGCCCAATTGGCACAGAACGTGCCGCCGCTTCGTGGAAATTTAACAACTTCAACGTGGCTGCCTCGGCGCTTAGCATGGACGATGCCCTGGCCAGCGTCCTACCGCCTTGGGCGCACGAGCCGAAGGCGCAGCCTCCAGGTCTGCAGCAGCCACCGCCTCCGCCGCAGTCGCAGCAGCAGCAACAGTCGCTTAATTGGCTGAAGCAGCAGCAGCAGCCGCAGCAACAGCAGTATAGGCCCTACAACAACGGACCCTATCCGCAGCAGCAGCAGCATGAGCCAATGAATGTGAGTTTGCCCTCGATCGTTTTATTTTCCAAATCATGCTTAATGGTGTTTTCGCGAATTTTAGATGCCAATGGACTACCACAACATGCAGGCGCAACAGCAGCAGCAGCACGTCAACTTGATGCCCTCTTACGGCTATCAGCATTTTGTGGGCGCCCCTGGAGCGGCTGACATCGCCGCACACATGCCGGACAAGATGGAGGTGTGGGATCACCATGATAAGCACGTAAGTATTGAATTTTTAAATAATGTAATACTTAAATGCTTCACTTAGACTTCGCTAACTTTAATTTAACATCAATCCTATTTCAATGTAAACAACGTTAACGCTAGCTTTCTATTTTTCGACAGATGCCTTGGACAAACTACACCACCAACTGGTCCAACTGATGTCCCAGCGACACTCAGCGGGAAGATCTTTTTGATACCTGTCGTTCAAGCAACTGAATCGAGCAGTTATGGATGAGCATTCTTCCAAATTACCAGGAACCAGCAGCAAAAGCAACAGCAACATCTCACTGATTTAAATATGCAAAGCGAAATAATATTTATTGAATTTCTACGTTTTCTATTCGGATTCTCGGCTTCTTCCCCCCACTACTTAATCTTCTAACTACCTGCCAACCATCGTGAAACCAACTAAAAGCAAAAAGAACTCATGTGAAAATAGCAACATGGCTTTGTTCTTTAGTTTATCGATTTAAAATCTGTTGAATTTGGGTGACTATTTAAATTCGCAGGTTGACTTGAAATTTTAACCCAGAAAGAAATCTAAAAAGCAAACGGAATGCAAAATGATAAAAGCGAAAGGAAAGAAGAAAAAAATGTTCGAAACTGGCGCTCAGGCAACTGGGCGCAATATATATTATTTATTTTTAAATGTATTGATATTTTTTGAAGAAGCATGAAGTTAGTGGTAGCTTATTGTTTTGTGTGATGAGCGAGAGGGAAAACGAAACGAAAATTAACTTTCATATACACACACACATGCACTAACATCTCCCCCGCACACAAAAACACACATACATAAACACAAATACATTTATTTTAAGATAGAAGTCAGTCTTATGAATGAAACATTAAATTGAAATGTTTAGCGCCAGCTAAAGTTCACACACAAACTTTTAATACAACACTTATACATAAATACATCTATATATATATTTAATAACATTAATAAAGGCAACAAATGAATGTCGAAACTGTAAATTCTAGGCGCGCACTTTTCTCTAAACCCCCTTTTCCCCCAAATATCCACCCACAACAAGAAGCTAACGAAACCGGAAACTAGAACAAAGCTATGAAAACGCATGCTTACGCTATAAATCGAAAACCAAGAGTACGAAATGAAGAACTACAACCGACAAGAAATTACTTAATTCAACTTACAACATATACATACCATTAACTACTCCCATACTTAAAGATATGCCTGGGAAAGATACCAAACAAACACGAACGAAACAACCAAAGGGGAGCAGCTACATAGTTTGGTGTTCTTTGGTCTGTGAAACCCCTTTAACGGTCCCCCGAAAATTGTAGCTAGTAGAAATTGAAATTGCTTAAATAACTAAGTAAAAACAACAAGAAATCAACGGTCGAGAAACGTTTTAATATTCCATTTACGAGAAATAAACGATATATGATAAAGATGATGAGACGACGAAGCGGCGCTTGCTTGCCATCTTTGATGCTTTTCCGACACTGCTCATAGACGTACATAAAATATATACCTACCTATATAGTAGCGAATAGCATATATGAGATACACAAATTTTTATTTCAAAGAAAGCAAAAGTAAACTAAACAAAGATATGTAAAAACACTTGACTAACCCCTTCTTGCCTGATCTAGGATCGCACTACCAATATGCGAGTGAGATCCGGAAACGGGAAAGAGGTCAAAGGTGTGGGTCGTCAGGCGATTGCTTTGTAAAATTCTAGAGGAATAAACGATGCTTGAGATATAATGCTTAGAGAACGGTTAAATAAGCAATTCACGCATAATTACACTACACGAAAACCCGATTAAAAGATATACTTTATCGATGATAATGATGGATATGAAAATACGAAATAAAAGATAATATAAGTGAGCATGAAACTACTTTTTTTCTATTTTTCAATGTTTTAGCTGCAAGCAAATAATGTAATGAAAATGTGGAGTTGTTCGTTTAAGTTATTTGATACAACAAATTACGAGAAATATATATACCACATACACATACACACGCCTACATATATGCCCGACAGGACCTTTATTCGAAAAACAAACGTTTTTGTTGACAAACAAAAAATATACAACCGAATAGTAGCTGAGGACATACAGCCGTTATAAGATGATGCATCCTTGATTGAGAAACAGTAAACAAAACGATGAAAAGAAAAAACAAAAAGCATACTGAATAAATGTAGAATTTTTTTCAAGCGAAAGAAATTAAATTCACATAGATTTATTAATTTAAAAATTAATATAATTATACTTCAAATATGAAAAGTATGAAAACAAAAAAACAACAGAAAAACAAAAAAATTACATATATTAAATACACACATACTATATGAGTATACTACGGATTATTATTACTCTTATAATTATTATTATTGTATTGAAGGAAAAATATAAAAAAGAACATTAAACAGCATAAATAAAAAAATTAAAAAAACTTGCCTTATTTTTAAAATTATGGAAAAACATTAAAGAATAGATTTAATATTCGAACCAACCTTTTACTACAAAGTAAAAAGAAAATAAAATTCAGACTTTAAGAGGTATACCACAAACATTAAAAGACTTTAAGAACATTTTTATTTATAGAATTTGTGATAATTTATTTGTGAACCTTTAGAAAATGTTGAACATTTTATTGATCGATTAAATCTGTCAGACGAAGGGCTCAATGGTGAACTCTACCACTGAACAGGGCGTGGTTAGTTCAAAGGCTTGCAGCACTGTAGGATGCAGGACACCAATTTTGCCAATAACGACGTTGTCGTACATGACATTAGCGCAGCGACCAGGGAAATAGCTGGGGTCTAAAAAAGAGAACACTCTGAAATCTTGGGATCACAAAAACACTTGGATAACTCACCCTCAGCTGCTTGAAGGTAATATCCCTTGGTAACGTTGGCCGTTTTCCAGGGCACAGAGAGCAGTTGCATCACGCGATCCAGCAGGCCATGGACAACCTCGAAGCCAGCGGTCTTGTTGCAGTTCACGGCACACACCCTACGTTCATTGCGTGCCCCAACTTCCGTGTTCTCATCGGCCACCACCACGTCGCTGATCTCGAAAAGCTTCAGGGGCAGCGGCATCTTCCTATTGGCCACCAGAGTCTTGAGTAGACCAGGCAACAAGGTCGTTCGCACCACCTGAAACTCCAGGGTCTTTGGATTGCCGATATGCACGGCCGGCAGGGCCTCAATGCTCTTGTTCAGCTTGCGTCCAATGTCATCCCGGGAGCAGAGCGTGAAGGTCAAGGCCTCGGTGAATCCTGCCTGGGCCACCTGTTCGCGCAGCTGTTCGGTCAGCTTGTTAAGAGGGAATTGTTTTGCTATCTGCATAAAGGCAGGCAATGACTTCTTAATGTTATTATAACCATAGGCAATGGCCACGTCCTCGTAGATGTCACAGGCGTGGATCACGTCGTGCCGAGTGGGTGGGATCTTCACTACCAGCGAGTCGCCATCGACCTTTGCCTCCAGATACATGCGTGTCAGCATATCGGCCAGTTTTTCCGCCGGCTCCTCGATGCCAATGTAGGCATTGGCTCGCTTCACCGAGATCCGCTCCTCACGCACCTCCAACTCCGGATAAGAGAGCACGCTGCCGTCAGGCTGCACCACATCACATGGCTCGACGGTGAACTTCTGGGCGCAGTGCTCGGAGAACAAACACACAATGGTGTCCAGCACCACCTTAGCCTTCGTTCGATCCGTGGCCGTGCACTCTATGAACACGTTCTTGGTCTTCAGCGAGATCTTGGAATGGTCGCCGTTAATAATGGGCGGCAGTGACAGCACCACGCGGTTCGCATCGTATATCACCGGATAGACCGGAGAATCCCGAATGATGGGTAAATATTGCTTCAGTTGGGCATGTGTGGCATAAAAGTCCATCAGCTGGCTACCAGTCATCTCCTTCGCTTGGTTAAGCGGCTTGAATTTAATCTGATCCGGCGCCAGAGCCTCGTAGCTAAAGGGGCCTTGAATGGTGTCAAGATCGTGGGTGCCAATGGCCACCAGTGTCCGCTTCCGGCAGATGTTCTGGTGCAACTTGTCCTGCAGATCGATGAAGCTGTTATAGGAGGCCTGCGTGAAGGTCACGTTCCTGAGCACAGCGGCCACTGCATAAGGACGAATTTGGGCCGTCGAAGGGGCAATATTTAAGACTTGCCTCTTAGCTGGCTCCACAAACTGGAACTTCGGGGGTTTCACCCTGATAGGAATTCATTTTAGAGAGTTATGTGAAAAAATAGTGATGTTATTAACTCACTTTCCCTGGAACACAAGCAGACCCGTGACCAGACCCTCCAGACAGAGCAGATCGTACCGGTTGGCTGGTATATCTATTCTGTAGATGATCTCCTCGCTAGCATTCGCCGCTGCTGCCACATCTCCCTGCTCCTTAGTGAGCATCTGCTTCTCCGTGGTCTGTTCGGATTATTTAAGGGGTTTTAATTTATGTTTTTAATCTCGTTTAACGGGATGCACCTACCACTTCATCCAGTTCAAGCCCAAAGGCAAAGCACAAGTCCTGGAACTCGTCATCGGCTGCGGAAAAGGGGTAAACATTAAACTATTCCACTCTGCGAAAACGTGATTACACGTGGACTTTTCAAACTTACTGTACGTCTTGCCGAGCGCTTCGAAGAGCAGATCCCTTTTAACTCCAATGGTAGGCATGATGACTCTTTCACTAGTTAATCCTGCGGGGCTTTTAACACAGAATATTTTTTAAAGTAAAATCGGCTTATTTTATTTTAATTGCGAGGAGACACAAACGTTGGCGGTGTTGCCAGACTGCACTCCCCAGCGGCTTTCAGCGGCTTTAAAATAGCATAAGTTAATTGGCTAGACTTTTATTTGGAATTAATATCATTATATTTCACTAAAAGTTAAAGCTATATATATAAATTGTTATTTAACTTGCAATTGAATACTTTGAACGAAATTGGGTACCAAACGGAAATGTTGCCGATAGTTTTATGGCCACCCTAGTGTAAATATGGCAAGACTGCGGCAAAGTTACACTGCTTGCACTGCTTTTCCTAACATTCGAATTAACAGATCCTGTTACTCAAAAAAAACTTAACTTTTACTGCTTTAACCAAAAATTTAAATTCACATCTATCCGTTACTTAAAAACTGTTTAATTTTCTTCAAAATATATAAATTCAATAGTGCAAATAACACTATTTTAACAGCACTTTGTCAAAAACAAAATTGGTTCGTGTACTTCAAATATTTATTTTTAAAATACTGTAAAATATATATTCAATTATGTAAATACATCGCAGTGAACTAAATACACAATTTAAATATTACTTCGTTAAATACTAAATACAACTTGCCGTTTCCTTTTACATCATAAGATTCACTTAATCAAAGATATATATTTGTATAGCTAATTTTATAAGGCCCCCCACAACAGTCCGGGCGCACAAAATGAGCGGGTAAAGAAACATGGGACTAAAACCCAAAATCAAATGTCGTCATTAATAATATAATATAGTTATATTTACTAAAAATGTTTTGATGGACGTGGTCGCTTTCAATAAAAATTTGACTGGCAAAAAGTAATTTTGGAATTTCGTTAGCTACTAATTTTAACCGGTTGACCACCGAAACGGCAACGTTTGATTAATGCAGTGCCTGTTTGTTGGGTGTCTACTGTTGTTTCTGCATGGCGGCAGCTGGCCCGTTTGGCTTGGCTCCCAGATTCTTGTAGGCCTTGCCCCCGTTGCGCTCCCACTCGCGGTTGAACTCGTGCTCCAGGATCTCGGCGCCGCGCTTGCGCGTCAAACCCGTCTCCTCCAGGCTCAGTTCACACATCTGCATGTCGTCCGTTCCAGCCACTAGTAGAATAGGTGGTTTGTCGGCATGCAGTTCCATCTGGCGAGCGATCCACTGACCATCAAAGTGGGCATACCACAGACCGCGCTTGGCTGTAATGCATTTATCGTATTAACATTCAATTTGATTACATTTCAGAGCATAGGACACTCACTGTTGTCCGGCGCATTGGCTCGCATGAAGGGAATCCGGAAGTAGCGATGCTGGGCCGTCACAATCTCCTGAATTGGCTGAACAAGTGGCGGCTGCTTAAAGGCTGCAAAAGGGATTTTTATATTGTTATTTATGTTTGCCATGTGACTAGCCTCACTAACCAGCTTCCATGACGCTGCGAGGGGCACGCTCATTCTCATCCATGGTGGTGCGCTTGCGGTTCTTTGCCTTCCAGGCGTGGTACACCTTCAAGCGGCGATGGAACTCCTGACGGCAGGCCTACAAAAAGTAAAGAGGGATAAGTAAAATGATTGTGGGGATTGTCTCTTTAACAAATAATCGTTCAAAAATTTAACAAACTTGCTATTTAAGTTGTGGGAATTCAAATGTTATCAAATTGACCAAAAGATTTGCAAGTTTAAATACTCCCGAAATACATATCCATAAAAATAAAGCCCTCTACAAACATACCTCTAGCAGCTCAATATCACAGGACGTGTTGATAGCATCACGCAGCTCCGAGTACTTCCACTTGGACAAGTCGTACTTCTGCTTGCCCAGAGCCTGTTGTTGGGCCCGAACATTCTCCGATCTGCCACAGGGAAAAAATGATCAGTTAGTACTGGTATTTAAATAAGTAAAATATCAGCGCAAGCAAACAAAGTGAGTCATTGATGGCATTAAATGTTCATAGTGACAGGATACAAGGATATTGAAAGTCAAAAACTAAAAGCCAATGGGAGTTTTATAGTAGTAGTATATTACAGATGCTTTGGATTAGTGGGCATGAGTTTTTTATTTTAGATGTTAGTAATTTAGTTAGTATGAAATGATTTCAAAACCAGCACCAACTCACTTATTTAAGTACC